CCAGCTGTTGGACAAATGTGTGAACTTGACATCAATCCAGTACTGCACAAGAGAGACAGGAAAAGACATTATCAAACACAGACGGTTGGGCAACCACTGTATGATAACTTATCTAATCTAGGCCACAAATAAAAGCCTTTTTGTGAGGGTTTGCATGGGTGACTTTGTCAGTGATTTTAACAGTATTTATTAATGATAAGGGATTTCTTTATTCGGTTGATAGTTAGAACCATTTGGGACTGATATTGTGCTGTAAATTCTAAATCAATTGTACCAAAATTATGTTCCTGAAGTAAAAAAAAAAAAAAAACTAAGGTTTTGTATAGAATGTACAGTGTATTGTCTCAGAAGCATTTGAGGTTTGTAATACACACCATTATCAACACTTACTCTGGTTACAGGCAGCTTTCTGGTTTGAGCACAAACTGTTCTGGAATGCTGTATATTGTGCAATAATGGCAGCATGGGCTCACATATAAACAGCAAAGAATAATTTTGGTGTAATGTAAATATAATTACTATTCTGAAATGGCAAGTGTAAAATAATGAATCATGAAAATCTATTTGAATGAGCTTTAATAGAATAATTTTACAGTTAAGCGGATTTTTCATATTTAGTCATTCACAAACAAATGTGTATATACATATGTAATGCTACATGTGGCTCAAACAGTCATTGACTCCATTGTTTGATGGCACATATGATTTTTTAGCAAACACATTTGTTTATTCACATGCTGCACGAACTTTGATCTGGACATTTGAGTTGGATCCAACCTTCGTTCCTGCATTGATGAGCTTATCTTTTGTCTTAGGAGGCAAGTTGCGCTTTTTAGAGTAGATAATGCCACGGATCTTCTCCGTTTTTGTGCTTAAAGTCCTCAATGATAGTTGTGTCCAGTTAGTCATGAACTGTGAACTAAACGAAGACGGACTTTCAGTTGCATTTGTTAGATACTTTGATAACTTTGATTACTTTATTTATTTATTTATTTTTTTTAAAGTACTGGCACCAGCCATCTCTGATATGCATTTTAATTGTAATTATTTTGAACATTGTATATTTGACAAAAAAAAAATCTTAATTTCTATATAACTTAATGTTTAAATAATGCTGAGGTTATCCTGAAAAATCTGAGAGAGGGGACATTTCCTTGCAATTTGATTGGTGGAAATTGGCAGCACTATGCAAAATAAACAGACAAAAATCGATCATCTCAAACCCACCCTGCTGTTTGTTCAGTAGTTAAACTTCTGAAAAAATCTGAAAGCTGTACTTGATGAAGATGAAGAACATTGAGTAGTAAGATTTTCAGGCTGCCACATGAAGAATTGGCCTATTAGTTTATTTTAATTCTTTTGAAAAACTAATGTAGATTTCATTGATACATTAAATAAACACATGTATGTGCATTATGACACTGATGATAAAATAGCTTGATATGTTGTGTTTTCATCTATTATGAAACAATTTGCAAATTTGGTTTTGTTGTGTATATTTCAAGAGTTTTTTTTTTAGCAGAAAAAAGTATAAAGGCCAAATCGGCACGCTTCCATGGAGTGACCAAAAGACCATTGCCCCTCTGTGTCCGAGGTACATTTATATTAGTCAATATGAACTGTTTGTTTTTCAACTCAGTGTTATCATGGTCTTTCAATTTCAAGATTAATTTGTTAACTTGGGAGGGAGCATATATATATATAAGTTTTGATAGTGTAGACTCATTTTCTATGCTTTGCTGTGATGGATCTCTAATTTGTTTTTTGTTTTTTTGTTGTTTTTGTTTTATTTGCATAACATTTTGAAAATCACAACATGAATTTTAGAAGCGGATATTTTCAGATTGACGTAAGAACCCGACTGATGTTGGTTTCGGACGTCAACGCGATTTTCATTTAACCACAATACAACATCTGTCCAACACTCTTAGAAGAAAAGGTTATTTTGAACCTTAAAAGGTTCTATCAGTGCTGCGTATTTGGAAACCCTAAAAGGTTCCTGCAGGTCGTAAAAGCTGCTTCCAAATCATCAGTTCTCATTCTCCTGGATCTGTCTGCTGCCTTCAACACTGAACCATCCTTGTGTCCACCCTCTCATCACTGGGCATCACATGTACTCCTCTCCTGGTTTGAGTCCTATCTCATAGGTAGGACCTTCAGGGTCGCACGGAGCCCTGCGGGTCGCAAAAGCTGCTTCCAAATCATCAGTTCTCATTCTCCTGGATCTGTCTGCTGCCTTCGACACTGAACCATCAGATCCTTCTGTCCACCATCTCATCACATGTAATTCTCTCCACTGGTTTGAGTCCTATCTCATAGGTAGAACCTTCAGGGTCGTATGGAGAGGTATCCAAAGCACATCAACTGACCACAGGTGTTCCCCAGGGTTCAGTGCTTGGACCGCTCCTCTTCTCCATTTACACCACATCACTGGGTCCCATCATACAGGTTTCTATACCATTGCTATGCTGATGACGCTTAGCTCTACCTCTCATTTCAACCAGATGATCCCACAGTAGCTGCATGAATCTCAAGCTGTATGGCTGACATCTCAGCATGAATGAAGGAACATCACCTGCAGCCACCTGGCTAAGACTGAGCTTCTCGTCCTCCCCGCCAATCCGTCTCTACAGCATGACTTCACTATCCAGCAAGATTCTTCCTCAAACACCACATCAAGGTCGGTCAGAAATATTGGAGTAATCTTCGATGACCAGCTGAACTTCTCAGACCACATTACAAAGACAGCTCAATCATGCAGGTTTGCAATGCACAACATCAGGAAGATCAGGCCTTTCCTAACTGAGCAGGTCACATGGCTTCTTGTCCAGGCCCTGGTTATTTTTAGGCTTGATTACTGCAATGCTCTTCGGGCTGGACTTCCATCATGTGCAACTAAACCTCTACAAATGATACAGAATGCTGTCTAATCATAAGTATTACATACAACAATGCAACAAAACAATGCATTGACATTTACTTTTGACTGGTAGGCTACTTTTAAAAACGAGTACTTCTGTACTTTTACTTAAGTAAAAATCGGTCTTTACACCTTTTACTTGTATCTGTACTTTCACTCAAGTAAGTAAGTTGTTTAGACACTGAAATCTGACAAGCTGTTCACTGATTTGGGCTACATGAGAAATCACAAGGCAACATCTGCTGCCTCCTGGTGGAGATGTCGAACATATTTTTCCATTTCAAACCTATGAATGCTATCCTTTTGTAAATTATAACATTTATTTTGGAAGCGGAAGGATATGATTTAGATGGTCAATTTGAGCTATGTCTCTTTCAAGAATCGTTTAAGAATTGAATAATAAAATACAAATCCATGTTTATTTTGGGTAATGTTATGTCAGGTAGGCTACAGTCAAACCAAAATGTATTCAGACACCTTCAACATTTCTCACGTTGTTGTTGTTTTTTTTCGCTATAGTGGGTAAAATGGTAATATAATATGACAATTTATCAGTGAAATATCAACTGATTTGATAACTGAGTTCTTAGGTTGAATAGCAGTCAGCTGTTAAATTTAAGTACAGAATTAAATAATAACAATTTAGGTCAACCAATTACCAAGCAATGCTTAAATTTTGCACCCACTTGTAAAAAAAAAAATCAAAAATGATATCTGGTGTCTGAATAATTTTTGGTTAGACAGTAAATTAAGTAATTAGGAACCAAGGTATAATTTTCCTTGATTGAATTTTAAAAATACTTCAAAAGCTGCCACAATATAGCATATAGGTTATGTGAATGTATCAGCTAATGTATCAGTTTGATTCATCTGGGTTTGCTGAGGACTGGATGGGGAAATGTATTCAAATTTTAAAGTTAAAGTGAAAAATGATGAATTCCTTGAAACAGGAAATGTATATTATAATATATAATAAAGGCTATAATCATTATTTAATGACCTTTCTATACTTTACATTTTAGCTGATAGGAGTTGATAAAATGTACTGACAAGTTTAAGGTATAAATTGATTACGGGCCAACATTTCTCTATAGGATCTACTGCAGTAGCCTAAATGAGGCTTAGCTATGCTTTCAAATGTTTCCTCTGTCCGACCATATATATATGTGTATATGTATATATATATATATATATATATATATATATATATATATATATATATATATATATATATATATATATATATATATATATATATATAGGCCTATATATATATTTGGCGGTTGTCATTTACAACACAATATACCAACATAACAGTCCAAAATGGTTCAATTTATAACCTGGATGGTGGAAAATGCCTTATTATAGTCAAACAAAACAAAAAAAACAAAAAAAATAGTAATAATAATACATACTGTCATACCATTTAAAAAAAAATCACTGAAAAAGTCACCCATCCAAACCCTCACAAAAGGGATTTTATTTGATTAGATAGCCCAACTGCTATACAGTATAGTTGCCCAAGCATCTGTGTTTGATAATGTCTTTACACATCTCTCTTGTACAGTATAGAACCTACAGGTTCACACACATTTTAGTTGATGGGAGTCGAAAAAATGATAAGTTGACAAGTTTACAGTAAATTGCTATAAATTGTTTATATGCTATATGCTAAACATTCCTCTATCGGATCCACTGTTGTAGATAAATGATGCTTATTGTCAAAAGTAAAGGTAGTATCCAGTAAAAATTGTATCCAACTGCAGACCAGTAGGCGCTTTCTTTTCCGCTAGCGACCAAGAACTGTTTTTTATTGCAATCTGCTCTACTTCGGAGTGTACGGATTCGTCCAAAGAATAGCATGGGTGTTTATGCCCTCACAACAACGTTGTGGGAGTTCGGAAATGATTATTTTGCCTTTTTGTCGTCAACAAAATCGCATCGTTTCTAACATCATGAAATCTGTTTTTTCAACGTGAACGTTTCTCAAAGACAATACTGACATCCCATTCCCAAATAAACGAGTCCCCCCTACAGTCTAACGGTGGACTCGTCCATTGACAGCGGAGCAGAGCTCGGTGTGTGGTGTCAGGTCTCTCGCTCAATGATGAGGTTTCAAGTGCGCCTTTGAGATGTTATGGAGTCTGTAGAATATTCGGCAAGTTATAACTTTTTCGATTCCCTTTTATTAAAACAACATTCCAACTTTTAGAGTACAAGATTAACCTGTATGTGTAAGCATACCTTATTTAGTTTATTGTTTTTAGGCTACAAGCTTCTGTGAGTTTTTTTTATAGCGAAAATGTTGAAAGTTTTGTGAGGACACTCCTTCTTCAGACGGACTAGCAAGGCTACAGCTGACAAATTGGAGAACGTGTCAGCTCTGTCGTTTTCTTAGAGGTAAGTTGTTGTCTTTTTCTAAAGCCACTAGTGTATTTTTCAACATATGCCGGTTTTTGGAACCCATTATTTGCATAATAGCGGTCCATGGGAATTAACACACTCTTTATGGCACTAAAACTAATGCATTTCGGCTTCGTGTCTCATATTAGCAGTCTACGTTGGTTTTCACGATGACACGTGTGGTTGTTTCGTTTTTCTAGGTTAGAAACATTTTGTTTTATTTTATTTTTTTAGTTCATGGCCAGGTCACCATAAAAATCCATGTATGTTTGGGATGGGTTTAATGCCCAGGAAAGCTGACCATATGATGTTAAGGGACTCTATCTTACCCTTTGCATTTAATTTGATATTTGATGCATTATATCACTAGATTCATCAATTATTATTATTATTATTATAATTATTATCCACAGAGTAAAATATGTGAACATATTTAGTTAGTTACTATATATAATAAAACTGTGTGTAATATATAATTATGATAGTTCTTTTATGTCATATTACTATTTGCAGTACAGCCTCTTTTCAGTGCCAGTCTGTAGATGGTCTAAAAACAATAAGTTATTCTTCCAATTCAGTCATCATTTGTAGTCTTTAATTCACCCACTGTTATGATCACCTTTTGGGTCACAGCATGATCTTCACGGCATGACTAAGAGGTCGATTCCCCACTTTTCCAATCAAGTCGCTCCATGATGCCTTGCAATAATCTCAGTGGCATATCTGCCAACCTGCTATCAGGGTCTGAATAAGCTCGGAACCATTGACAACATTACATTTCTATTTCCATCCCTATTTCTGGTAAATATCAGCAAAATGGGTCAATTTGTTTTGGAAAAATTCATTGCCTGCTTATGATGATGGGAAATGTATTGGATGACCTCTTGGCATTATTAAATTTAGCGACAAGCTATTTCGAGGAAAAATACACTGAATTCTCAGACAAGGGGACAAGTGTATTGTTTGTTTTCCTGGAATTTTACGGTCCACCGGAGCAGCAGAAAAACTGGGTTTTCTGTTCTACTGATCTTTTGACACCTGTCAGGGTACATTTTAGTTAGGCTACATTGGGGAATAGAAGGCTTAATGAGACACACAAACACACACACACAGTTAATTAAGCTGATGTTTTATGCATGATGGGTCAATGATGAATGCTACACAACTGCATGCTCAATTGCACTGATGTGTACAAAATATGTCCCACTCCCACACTTTCCAGGTTACGTTTTTTTTTTCTAGCTATTTGTTCCGTGCTCATGGCAACCTGGCACATATCTTTGTTTGATTTGAATGGGATGTAATGAAACCTGTTATTTGGTAATTAATTAAAGGCAATAGTTGCACTGTATAGCTTTTCACACTGGTCTGAAAAAAAAAAATACATGTGATGTGAGTGTGTGGAATCTAGTGGCGAGACACAACATTCACGTGTGCCAGAGTGGCAGTGTTGTAATTGGGGCTAGTTTATTGAGACGAGGGAGGGTAACAAGATGAGTTTGTGCAACCAAGACTGCTGGGAGTGAAATTGGAAACTAGGGCTTGTGTGGAAATCCTCAAGGAATGTTTAGGCTACGTCCACATTAATCCAGATAGATTTGAAAACGGGGTTTTCGTTTAAAAACGCTCTCCGAAACTTCTAAATTCACTGTACTGCGCATGCGTGAAACTTCACAAAAGCTCACTGAGATGATACAGATGGGAAAATAAATAATGTTATCGCACAATAACAGGATAATTTTATTTGGCAAAATATCTCACCATCGCGGATGCGTCCAGGGTCGCATTCAGTCACCATATGTTTGATCTAAAACGCAACTGCTCTCCTGTTTTGCCGCAGGACAGCAAATGTGCTGTCATCTTTGCAGTGCTGTGCTATGAAGAATAGCACATATTAAGTAACATAGAAAGTAACATATTTTAGCAATAGTGTAAAAATGAATAACACATAACAGGCACAATACCGATAAACATGAATATCTATTGGTACCACATGGATCACATGACTAAACTTACGTCATCGTTTTGAAATACCTCCGGTTTCACTGTCCACACTACAACGCGAAAACGGCGTTTTCAAATTTATCCACTTTGGAGAGCGTTTTCCAAACGATACGTTTTTGTTGACTTAAAACGGCGTCTCAGTGTGGACGGAAGGCCAAAACGGAGAGAAAAATATACGTTTTCAAACGAAAACGTATTAGTGTGGACATGGCCTTAGTTAGGGACTTAGTGTGACGGAGTATTTCCTTTAGAGACATGGCAGAGAGAGAACGGGCAAGGGTTAAACATTTAGTGGGAAGAAAGTGCAACGAAACTGGCATTTAGGATAAAATGAGAAAAGATGTTAAATTAACAAATGCACATATATTCTTCTAGACAGACGGCTTTAGTAAATTAAATAACATATTGAAATACTCTCAAGCTTGGCTGCACATTTCCATAAAATGAATGACATTTCCAAACCTATTTTCGCACTTAGATGGATTGTTAACCCAAAAATGAAATTGTTGTCATCATTTCACTCTGACGTTAACTTTCCTTCCTCAATGGAAAACTTGTGCTGAAGAATGCACTAGTAATTTCTTTCCATGCAGTTACAATGAATGGTGACTAGAGCGTTCAAGCTTTAAAAAGGACTCTGGATCCCTATAAAAGTATCATAAAAGTAGTTGATATGACTAATGCATTTTCTGAAGTGCATTCAATAGCTTTGTGTGAGAAACAGATTCAATTTGCTGTAAGGGTTTGCTCTCAGTGTTCATGATAGTTCATAAAGATGTCTGATTTGTGAACAGTGTTCTTTTGAGTTGGTGACCTTTTCAGTGAATCAGTTTATTCGATCCACAAAACCATTCAGAATGAATCAGTCTGATCCAGTTCTCAAGTTCCACTCAATTTGCTGGTCCTGTATAATAAGACTATCAGTGAATAACAAGTGAAGTGAAAGCATTAAATGTCAGTCTGTTCCTCTCACAAAGCTATCATATATTTCAGAAGACTTACAAAACGAATATACGTATATTCAGTTCCCATTCTTTGTAATTGAATGGAAAATTAGCCATGCAGGCTTGGAATAACATGAACGTATTTGAATGATGTCAACATTTTCATTTTTGGCTGAACTATCCCTATAAGAAACATGAGCTCAATCTTTCCAGTGTTAACAATGCGGAAGTTTAATGTGGAAGTAAGCTGTTTTCTGTGAATGTGTGAGACTTCCAATTTATTGGCCGCTATAGGGAAATGACGTGAAGAATAACAAAGTGCAGTGAACGGTAAAACTATTTGCACTACAAACCAGTGTGTTTCGAATTAAGACATTAAAATATGACAAGAAATTCAAGTTGGCAGTATCCAGCAGGATTATACAGATAAAACTGAATGAAAAGAACATACAATTTACAAATAGCCACCACACTTGCATGAAAAATAAGGTGGATGTGTTTTCCAGTTTTCTTTGACTCTATGGTTTATAGACAGACAGACACCAGTTGTGAAACCACCTGTAAAGCATTATGGTTTGTGACTGGAGTGGCAAAGGATGCTTTTGAATCGTGAGGTACTGGAGCATACAGTGATACACCATCTGCTCTCAATCCGAGGAGATGTGTCTCATTTTTCTCTGTTCTGATTCAATTTTTTTGCAAGGCGCTTTTCAAACATTTTGGAAATTAGGGCTGTGTTCAACTCCTCACTCCTCTCATCACGTCTTTCATTTTGGTTCCTCTTCACAGAGAATGAATATGTGAGTCTCTGCTCTATTTATGTGCCCCCTGTGATGTTGTTATTTCTACTGGACCAGGGCCTATGGGGACCCTTCTTTTTTCAGATTTTTTTCCATTTAACAGCTGCATGAGCTTACATTTTTTCCTTCAGAATGGAAAGTTCTGGGTTTCTTGTGGCTTGGTGAGTGTCTGAGGGAAAAGAGGGAGGGAGAAGCAGGCTACGCCCATGTTTCTGTCTATCTGCCTGCATGCTACCAGGCTAGCTTCACCCATGTGACTCCAGCCAAGGGAGGGGCCACCCTTATGATGGCCTTGACAAACTGAGCAAACGGAGCAAAGCCATTTTCTGAAGAGTTGGACATATCTAGAGAACCAAGTCTAAAAATACTCATGACATGTATTTCTGAAGGTAAAATGGTAGATAGTACCTTCTTGAGAAAGTGTAGCTTTAACTGTAATAAATTGAGCGTATAGACTATACACACACACACACACACACACATATATATATATATATATATATATATATACTGTATCTTTGAAAATGAAAAAATGAAAGGTTTTTGGGTCAAACTATCTCAGTTATCCATGAGTTAATATTTATTCAGCAGAAAAAACTATTCGTGACGGGTGTAAATCTGAGCCTTAATGACGATTTGATACGATGCCGATTTCTTGAGCCAATTAACGATTCGATTATTTTCGATACTTAAGAATTTCCCGCGATACGATTCGATACTAGATGTTTTTAAATTAAGTAAAAAGAAAAATTATATATATATATATATATGAAGGGTTCAGATGCAAAAGCCTCTAAGTGCCATTTGAAATTTTCTTCTAAAATGATAATTTTTATCAAGCTTGTATATTTAAGTTCAGTAATTTCACTCAAATGGCAATGAAGATTACCTATTAATTGTCATTTAAGTGAAATTACTGAACTTAAATATACAAGCTTGATAAAAATAGTCATTTTAGAAGAAAATTTCAAATGGCATTTAGAGGCTTTTGCATCTGAACTCTTCATACATTGACCATTTCACAAGATGTAAACACTGGTCCAGAAACACTTCTTGTTTCAGTTTGTAACTGTTTTCTTTATTTCACATGTAAAGAAAACATCTTAAAGATGTTGTTTAACTTTTTGATTCAGTTTTATATGTTCTGTTGGTTGTATTTTATCCCAGCTTTTATGTAGTGTTAAAAAACTGAAACAGGAAGTGCTTCTGGACCAGTGTTGTTTACATCTTGTGAAATGGTCTATATATATATAAATAATATATATATATATATATATAATATCTTATAGATATTATTATATCTATAAGACCTTATGTAGCCCTGCCCCTTTTCAGCGTTGCGCTCGTTGTCTTTTGACTTCCAGTGTGTATTTTCACAGCGATCTTGCATAGGTATGAATGAACTACTCGTAAAAAAATTCCCGGTCGACATTTGTTAAGACATCTGATTTACAATGTTAATGACAAAAATTACAATACTCATGATAACTTTTGTTAACTCCACAATAAGTAAATCCACTTCGATGCCATACAGAGCGACCGCAAAAACGGAAGTTCAAAGACGGCGCCCACGTTTCATAAGCAGTCTTTTTTGCAAACGACAAGATCTCTTACCACTGTTCCATCTGTTTTCCTGAAGCTACAAACCTTCCACACCCATGACTTGACGCTGACTGGAGTGTGTACAATTTCACTTTCATTGCCAGCTCGCTCTGGCGGTTCCATCGCTCTTGAAAGTCAGACTCAACAATGTGTGTGTGAATTCAGATTCAGATAGACTGTGAAGCGGTGTGAAGTTGAAGACTATAATGAGGTTAGCGCCACCCACAGTTTAGGAATAGGTTGTACGCATTTGTCGGTGCTGATGCTGAAAATAGACAGGCGGCAAAATAAACACATTAATCTTCTGCGGACGCATCGAATCGGCGGCTGTATAATCGATGGATCGATAGGAATCGATGAATATTTACACCCCTTGCTCTGTGAATGCAGCTCGAGATAGATGACAAAGGGTATTTTAGTCAAATGAATATTTATTTTTCCAAACAGAAATATGTTTATGTCTTCTGCACCAGGAGTTTGCTCAGGTCTGAAAGTGGCTCACTGACTTGTGTCTTATGACCTATGACAGTAAAAGATCTTTTAAAAATCGAAATGATTTTAAATAAAATGTAATGTAATTTAACCCTGAAGTAAAAAGTAATAATATTCTTTAAAAATTAAATTCATTTAGATACATTACACGATTTATATATTTACAAATAGCTTGAATTATTATTATTTTTTTTCTAAAACGAATGTTTTCTAATTATAAATTATCAGATCAGATATTTTAAAAGCAGGAGGGGCTGCAATGTGCATTGATATAATTTTCTTTTTTATTTTTGGTTTGGTGCTGCTGCATGTTGGTTGAACGACATGACGTTTTTGGTTATAAATTGATTTTGAAGTGGTTTTGTTCAAATATTATTTCTAAGATTTAAAAGACTGCCAAACTTCTTAAAAAAGTTTTTCTTCTGAATAATTGTATGCTTTTAATGAGGCTTTCTTTCTTTTACTGTAAACAAGCAAGATTCAGAAATATGAACAGTATAAACGTAAAGAAGAAGCTGTAGTAGAAAGAGTAGATAGAAGTCAGTGCATATGGCCATGTCGCTTATATAACCTATCGTTAATTTTCACTTCCTGCCACCTCACCGTTTATATGGTCTTTATAGGATTTGTTTAAATAGAACGAGCAGTGCCTCACACTCTGCCCCCTCTTAACGCTGCAAGCACAGGCTCATGTACAGTAAGAGACACCAACCGTTCCAAATTACCCACACACACGCAAAAGAAATAACATTTCTTCCTCATCTCCCTGGTAACCCACAGCCTCTTGATTGTTGCTAAGGTGGTCTGGTGGCAGTTATGCCCTCATATCAGCCTCCCTCAATGCCGCTAAGTGCCCTTCCCCTTTAACCCACTGTGAAGGAGTCAATTCTCACCTTAACAAGGTATTAAATGGTTTCCATGGATACCAGGATCCACTCCTTCAATTTGGAAGGCTAAGACGTTTCCCATTATTCTGAAACATACATCTGGCAGAGGAAATGTGAATCTCTTTATTGTGGCTTGCGTAGGTTTAAAAATATCTAAGTAGCTACTTTATTTCTTTGTGTTTGTGCTGACAGGGAGCAGCAAGAGTCTGCGCTAGAGTTTCATCATGGGTAAACAGAACAGCAAGTTGCGACCTGAGGTCCTCAACGACCTGCGGGAGAACACGGAGTTCACGGACCACGAGCTGCAGGAGTGGTACCGCGGCTTCCTGAAGGACTGTCCTTCGGGCCACCTAACGGTTGAGGAATTCAAGAAGATCTACGCCAATTTCTTTCCCTACGGTGACGCTTCGAAGTTCGCGGAGCACGTCTTCCGCACCTTCGACACCAACGGCGATGCCACGATCGACTTCCGGGAGTTCATAATCGCCCTGAGCGTGACCTCGCGCGGAGGCCTGGAGCAGAAGCTCCGCTGGGCCTTTAGCATGTACGACCTGGACGGCAACGGATACATCAGCCGGGCTGAAATGCTGGAGATCGTACAGGTGGGCTTTTGGTGTCATTTGTATTTCTGTATTTTAGCTGGCCAGCCATTGTTTTTAGAGAAGCTTGTTCCATATCAATATTGGCTCAGTCTAATGTTTGGTGATACAGACCTCCTGAATAAACAGATCTCCTCAATCAAGTGTTCCACAGGCCATATGGTCTTGCCACAAATGGTGACCAAACACAAAGGCTTTGTTCGCTACTTCAAAGGGACTGTTGACTCTCAATGTTAATAACATAGATGGCTCTTTTACACCTGCATCAGAGGACATGATGTAAAACAATATCTGAAAGTGACATTAAATGTATCTGTCAGAGAAACTGGCTCATGATCATTTGCATTGATTACACTGATATGAAGTGTTGATTGAAGCTGTGACAGTGACAGCTGCGTTATGCAACTTTTGCATCAGTTGTAGCATTATAAAGACAAACGTGTTGCTATACTGATAACTGAAAGCGTTGCATGTGACCGCAAACTATCATATGTTTTTCACACGGTTACATTCATTTTCACAGGCAATTTATAAAATGGTGTCATCTGTGATGAAGATGCCCGAGGATGAGTCAACGCCAGAGAAACGCACAGATAAGATATTCCGACAGATGGACACGGACAACGATGGTACGCCTCCTGAGATCCGTCTCCCACTCACCGATTATATATATATAGACTCCACGGAAAGTTAATGGCTAAACCACGGAAAATATGCACTGTAAAAAATGATATGCTGTCTTTGTTTTAGAGTAAAATCATCTAAATCAAGATTTGTCTTGAAAGTTTACTTTTCCTCCTAGTCAATTGCCAAATAGTTTCTTTCCTAAGCAACTTTGTTTTCCAAGTTGAAACCAAGGCAAATGTACTAATTAAGAAAATAATTTTTCACAGTGTCTATGACAACCACAAATGAATAAAGTCATATTTAGAATTAATTTAAGTTCCAGGATATTTGATCACCACTGAAATGTTACTCTTGGAAATGAACAAATAACCCTTTTGTTGTTGTTGTTTTTTTTAAAATCTATAGGTAGACTGTCTCTGGAGGAATTCATCAAAGGTGCCAAGAGCGACCCCTCTATCGTCAGACTACTGCAGTCTGACCAGAGCACCTCTCAACAGTTATAAAACAGCTCTTAAAAGCAGCTGACAGGCGCCACTCACATGCACACTGAAAAGACAAGATTTAAGAAAATGGAGTCGCTGGCGTTATCAATGATACATTTCTATCTTTCCTGCTTGAAAGGTTTCCTTGTTCGTGGTTGGTAACCTCTTTCATCATTCCAGCCTGTTTTTATTTTGATGTAATTCTGTTTGGATTGCCATTGCTGAGTTGTCATGTCTGGGCCGGGTCGGATTGTGAAGGACCTCTTGAAATCAATCGTCAAAATTCACTTTTAGCAGCTATTCACATTTGAAAACTGAATTCCTCAGGGCCTCATTTATAAAATGTGCGCACGCACATTTAGCATGCGTATGCTAAAACTTTTCCTTGTGAAAGAGGGTCGGAGTATTGCAGGGATTTGTAAATATAAGCAATTCTTGCCACTCTCTATTCTCAAATAAGGGAAATGAACTTTGATGTGCTCTATTATATGTATCGGAAACCATTCAGCTGGGCACAATTTCAAGATCATTTGCGATTTGTGTAAATTTCACTTCGGGAAGAGAGGTGTATGCATGTTTGTTCTCTGAATCATACGTATGCACATTTGAGAAATGAGCGTAAGATTGAATGTAGGATGGCTTCTTCGCAACATTTTATATATGAGGCCCCTTATGATTGGTTGCAACGGACAGTTTTTTGTCCAATCAATGCTCTATAGAATGATGCTGCAGAATTGTCGTTGCTTCATATCTTTTAGTGATGGCTAAATCTTTTTTTAGTGGTTTGCATTCCATTCAAACAGTAAATTAATCGTCAGTACCACGTGCACATTTTCAGAATGGCTATTCCGCTAAAACATGAAGTTTCTGCTAGTGAATATTTCATTTTGTTTTGCATTCATTCAAGCTAAAGTATCTTCAAAACACTATTTTGGTTAGATGTTGGGTTTTATGCATCAGGTGCATTTGGAGCAGCCTGATGTCTGGCCAATTATTAGTATTGCTTCTTTTAGTATGTAACAGAACATGCCAACAGTTTTGGGTCAATTTTTTTTTTTTTTGAAGGAAATTACTTTTATTCAGCAAGGATGCATTACATTTTCTACATTGTTATAATTGTTTTTTTAAATAAATGTTCTTTTAAACGTTCTATTCATCAAAGAATCTGTAAAAATGTATTCATTGTTTCTAAAAAAATATTAAGCAGTGTGTAATCTTGCTAAAAATTCAGCTTTGCCACCACAAGATTTCATTACATATTTAAAAAGTTATTTTAAATTGTATAAAATATTTAATAGTATTACTGTTTTACTGCATTTTTGATCAAATAAATGCAGCCTTGGTGAGAAAAGATTTCTTTCAAAAACATCTTACTTTAACCAAGCTTTTGAACAGTAAAGAAATGCCTACTTTTGGCAGCTGGGGTTTAATTTTCATTGTATTTTGATTTCAATTGTAGCATTTAGATTTCAAATCAATATGAATACACTAAAGTAAATGGGTCAGAAATGTGCAATTTATTCATTCATAATTATTTTTCTCCGTTTTGGTTTCAATTCTAACAAGCAGACAGACAAACTTTTCACAACCATTTCTGCCCTTAAGTTAAAAAAACAACAACAAAAACCAGCTACCGTCAGCCTTTAGGCTACTCATTAATATTTAAATGCTATTGTCCAATTGGACATATGGCACAGATAGAATGGCAGACAGGTCGTTAGTTTCCAATTTGCCTTTTACCAGTCCAGTGTCAACATGAACAGTATAGATGCTGTTGAATAAGTAGCTTCATGGAACGCAGCAGTAATATCTAATTGTCTTCCCAAGTTTCTGCTAATGGAAACATTGGAAAATGCTCATAATCTGCTCTTTTGCATGTGTGGTATTTTATTCCTTAGTATTTTTTCTCTGCAAAATGACTGTTGAAGTGAAATGCCAAAATGAATATTTGTACTGGAGATATATATATATATATATATACATTAGCTTTCATTTCTAATTTTGTATAGTTAATTGTGGTGATGGTTGTATACTGCAGCTGGGATTGGGATGTCCAGACATATTGTCAAGCCAAAGCATCAGTAAGAATCTGAATGTTGCATCTTTACAACTGAATATCGTATTTGTTTGCATGAATTCTCAATAAACCACTGATTCATAGGCCACTGGTGTCTATCAGAATAGCTTCTATAATAAAAATGACTCAATTTATTATTTTTGTTTTATTTTCATAACAAAAACATTTATTTCAAAACAAAGTTGTGTAAGAAAAATCTACACAACACCCACATTACACCCGGTCAAACACAGACAAATGGGCAATCTGGGATACAGGTTGGCTGCCATTCTTTTCAGTAACAATTTTAAAACAAATAGCCAAATGATAATAAAAGAAAAAAAGTCGCATGAGAGGGATAAAGTGTGAAAATGGAAACCACTCCAATGCAATGAGCTGCTGAAATCATAAAGGCGAATATAAATAACCACTGGTTTCTCATTACCAGAAAGACCAGTGCCATCTGATTAAATCTTGTCAATGAATCTGATATTAGAAAGTGTTCTATTAAGAGCCTCTGTGTGACGTCTGCTTACTGGAAACAAGTGATTGATAATCAGTCACATTCTGCTTCATCAAGCTGATTGAAAGATCCAATCAGTCACAAAGTCAAAATGTGAAGGAAATTGAGGCAGAGCAGAGCTCAATCATGATGTACATACTGAAAAGCCTGACGAACAGGGGGTGTTTTCTTTTAAAAAGCTGCACAACCATTTGCTTTATTTGTATGTTTTCAGGAGTCTGAAGGAAGTCCCTACCATCCCCTCATCCATGGGAGAGAAGACATGGGCATCAGTTGTGTCTCAGAGATCTAGAGTGGTTTAGACCAGGCTCATAACTCATCCTTCTCCAAATCGTCCAAATCCACGTCGCTCAGGTCAATGTCATCCTCCATGGGCAACTGAGGAAAGGCCAAAAAAAGGGCGGGTTGAAAACAGGAAAGGATGACATCCATCCACCCTCACACTGTTCTCTCTACTCACCACTCCATCTTTCCCATCCCAAGGCGCCACAGTGTTAATCTTAGGCAAAGCTCCGCCTCCCACCGTAGCAGTGGAGCCACGGCCAACAGAAAGTTCCCTGCATAAATAGACATTAATAGTTTAACAACATAGAACAGACAGACAGTTAGAAGGGCCATTATAAACAACACCTTAAATTTACTGTATGCGAACGGTCTCTGTGACGTAACTTGTTTCCTTGTAACATAAACTTCAGCCTTCTGTTACCTCAGGAATTCGTGGATGCCAGTTTCACTGAATGAGCCTTTAAGTAGAGCGAACTTCATCTTGCGAGCATTAATGGCTGCCATTGCGGGATAGCCAAATCCACCGATCCCAAGAGAGGCCTCCAGCTCCATCTGTGCCCCTGCTTCAGTCCACAACCAACTGTGTAGAGAGAGAAGAGAGTGATGTGTCTGACTGCATCCCACTCTCTATTCCCTAATGTCTCATCTCTGGCACACAAGCAGCGACATGCACTGGTGTTATTTATGGGCAGGCTGATCTCAACTTGTACTCTAGATAATGCTGAAAACACTGACCCCCACATCTTCTTCTTGTATTTCTCTGCCATCGTCTTCATCACTTCCATGTAAGAGTTTCTTCCAGATGCACCTGTGAGAGCAGAGAGAAAATCTAAATAACAGTGTTGTTGCATCTCATTGCTTAATAAAACTATTGCAAATTGGTGCTTAATTGAAATAGAGCAGAAATAAAATAATTAGATTATAAACTTAAACATTGCCTTGGCAACTAACTGACAAAACAAGTTGAAGTGCTAACATTAAAAATAATAATAATAAAGAACTTAAAAACAACAACACTACAGAAACCAAATAAAATCTATATATATACATACACACACACATACAATTATATTTTAATTCAATACTATTTTTGTGTGAACTTAAAATCAATCATTTAAATTCAATTTAATTTGAGGTATAAATCTTACATTTAGCAGTTATTAAGTTAGTCCAACTCATCCAACCAAGTGAATGTTAGATGACAGCAAATGTAAAAATAAAATGAATCCAATAACCTATAACTAATATACTGTGCATCCCAAATGACATCACTGTTTAAGAGGCTTGTCATTTTCTAATTTTTCTTCCAAATAACAATAGTTTTGATGAAATCACTTGATGCGCGTTTTAGGTTGCCGTTGTATCGTACCTGTGTCGAGAATGTGAGGCAACACAGCAATCATACATAGCTGATAGTCCTCACAGGTCTTCTTCAAAACGTCTTCACTCACAATCTAAAGGAAATAAAAACAATGTGAATATAAACCAAACTATACCTATTATTTCTTTACAAAATATTTATCAAAACAATTGGTAACACTTTACATGTAACAAGGACACAGTATTTACTATAATAAGACCTATGAATAATTACATACAACTACCTTAACCAAACCCCAATCCTAACCCACTAGGGAGTGCATTTAAACATAATACACATTAATTACACCATATTCTATAATATGCTTAAAAAATAGAAAAGAAAACTCACCTCTTGAAGCTCTGGAGGTGGGATGTTATCAGAGTAGAGATCCATGGCACTAGCAACGATGTCAGATCGGGTACGTCCCCCCTGAAAGTCTTCTGGCTCCTCTCCTTTACGAAAGATCTTGATGGTGGGGAATCCTCGAATCTACCGATAAAGAAATAAAGCAGAAAAGACACCGTTAATTAACTCAATGACCTGTGGAGGAAAAAAAAAAGGCACAACCACAACAGACATTCAACAAAAATGTTCATGGTCCAAAATAAATTGATATTTTTTTGATGACATAAATGGGATCTGAAAATAAATTAGGGACAATATAAGAATTGCTGGTAGCACTTTATTTTACTGACCATCCTCATGCACATACTATGTAAATATTACAGTTATTCCAATAACTGGGTAATAACCCCTAAACCTAACCGTATCCTATGTTGTTACCTTATATTAACCAGTACTTTTTAGGCAAGTACACATACTGTAAAATAAAGTGTAAGACAGTAAATAAGTACCCCATAGCGGCTTGCCAAGCCCTGGTGAACAGTAGCATCCACAGCACCCAGTTTCACTTTACCCTTCGTCTGCTCTTTGACTTCTGTGGCAGCTGCCGTCCATTCTGGCTCAAGACTGGAAACATTAAAGAAAGTCAACACGGGAAAGCCCAGCCAGCAGAGGAATTTCATTGCGTCTTAGAATCCTTGTAAATAATTGAACATTGATTCAACGCTTCAATAATGCATGGCACAGCATGTCAGGTACGATTTCAGGAGAATGACAGACAGACAGGTCTTATGATGTATGCGAGACACAGAGGAAACCACTTACTTTTTGCAGTGTCCACACCAGGGGGCGAAGAACTCCACCAACCAGATATCATCGCTGTCCAGCACGGTACGGTCAAAGTTATCGTCGGTCAGCTCCACAACATCCTTCTTATTTCCAGCACCACCTCCACTCTGCTCACAACATCACAGAGGAGTCAATCAATCAATGGAAGGAAAACAAACTAAAAAATTCTTCATGCTGAGCTTCAATACCTTTCTGCTGTAGTCTGAGCCTCCAGTCTTTCCACCAAGCCTGTCTTTGACCAGGGAGCGAAGAGCATTCAGAGCTGCGTCTACAATGGCTTGACTGGCTCGGCCACCTAGGACAGAGAGAGAATTAACAACATGCTTTCATATGGCCATAAAACATTTTCTTAACATGCATGCCAAGATGTTTGATGCAGAACTGAACCTTGGTAATCATCTGGTTTATTTTTGTTGGCTCCAAAGATCTTGATAGTTGGGAAGCCTCGGACTCCATACTGGCTTCCCAAGGAGTTGTGTTGGTCTGCGTCCACAGCACCCACCTTCACAATGCCCTGTACCAAAACACAAATGCTATCAACAATCTTTTTTTTAAAATAATTTCTCACTTTTTGATTTATCCAGTTTATAACTGCGGTGAGACATCCTGCTTGTTATTTCTGAAATTTTTTGATCCAAAAATAAGGATTTTAATGATTCAGGTTTCAATTCATGTTCCATTAAACAAGTATGGTTCATTAACAACACAGTCCTTTTAAGAGAGCACCAAATACTATAAAATTACTATAATAGTAAATACTATACTACCTTCAAAGGTTTGTGGTTAGTAAGATTTAAAAACATGGGGAAAAAAAAAACAGTAATATATAAAATTAAATTTATTTCCGTATCTTAATTTGGTACTCAAACATATTATTATTATTATTCAATGCTAAAAACAGTGCAGCTTAATTTCCACAGAAACGGCGATACATTTTTTTCAGGATTCTCTGACGAATGGAAAGTTTAAAATAAGACAATATAAAAAAATAAATAATCAGTAACAGTATAAATATCTTTACTGTCAAATTTGAACAATTAACGTATCCTTGCAAAATAAAAGTATTAATTTATTTTTTAAAAATAGGTAGTTTATACTACATTTTGGAAGAATGATGCTTAATAAATCATTCTGAGCCAGTAAATTAAACTGGTTCTGAATAAGCCCCCGTTCTCGATTGTAAGTGCAATTAATTATTACGTAATCTTAAATTCAGAATTTACCTTTAAAGCTGAGGCAGCTTTTTTCCATTCAGGAGCCAAGCTCTTGCAGTGACCACACCTTTAAAAAAAAATACATAAACATCATAATGAAACATATAGCTACACTGGTGTAATAATGATGCTCATGACTGTATTATGCATCATACGCAAACGAAGACTAACTCTTAAGGCACTTCATTTGCATTGCTTTACATCTCATTAGAGTAGCTATGATGACTCACACTTTCAATTTTATACAAGATAGCAACAGATTGGACTGATTCAGCACCAGCTTTCTAGACAGTAACCTGATCTGTAACTAAAGATCTAGAGATCTTTATAAGCAACACATATCCGGGTTCCACCACTCTTGCAACTTACCAGGGGGCATAAAACTCGACCAGCCAGAGACTGTCACTCTGTATGACTTCCCTGTTAAAGTTGGAGGGGTTGAGTTCAACCACATCATCACCAGCAGAGTAGAGGCCGTGGACAGAGAGTACAGTCAGAGAGCACGCCAACACACCTGAGAAGATAAAGGAGCATCAGTACTGGGGTACAGCAAATGATTTCAACAGCTCTATTAACAAGATCTACAGCAAGAAACATTGCACATGGTTCATAATCATAACAAGCAGGACTTTCTACTACCAGACTCTAGACACTTAAAACAGATTACTGCAACAATTATAACGCATTTAATTATTATTTTCCAACTGGTCTTCTGCAACATGAAGATGAAATTGCTGTAATGAATAGGCCTAACCCACCATAACACACTCTAACTAACGTTATAATGTACTATACGGTGCTACACTTACACGTATGTATTTAATGTAGACAAAAGCTTCATAAAACACACTTCAATTAGTTTAACTTTAGAAAGAATCAAAGTTTCTCCTTTTGTCAAATCAACGTCCAAACCAGTTCTACAGTTTAGGCTCAGTCTATGCATCTCACAGTTTTGCTTGCACACGAATTTGAGTCAATAAAACTAAGGCGTCTCTTAAAAGCTGAGTTCAAGTCTTATGTCATTATAACTCACCCAGTAGCGCTCGCATTGTTGTTCTTTGTGCCTAATCAATTGTCTTGTTCAAGACTTCTTCAGTCTGTGTAATGCTGTGTGCGCCCGCCGCGTGAACTCTCTCTCCACCTCACTAACTGTATCACACGACCGGTCTCCAACCAGCAGCGTAACAACACAGCACAGTCGTACCGTGGCCCGCACTGATTGGCGGCCCTCCACCCGGAGACGACCTTAGCCAATAGGAGCTCGACGTGTAGTTCTGCATCTCGGGAGAGGTACGGTGGCTGTGAGGGGGCAAAATTGTTTACTGAAATCTACAACACATCAAGTAATATGACAAAACGTTGCTATTTTATCTTACATTACACCACTTTGACCCAATTTAATGTAAGATAAAGACAAATACTGCTGGTATTTATAATGTAAAAATATATACAAACAAGACGCATGTTCAAAGAATGATTTTAATTTGAGCCATAATATTATAAAGTTTACATACTAGGTATTAAGTTACTTTAAGAAACCTCTTAACACATAATATAAAATAGGTATAAAATATAGAATATAGAGTATAAAATATAGAGTATAAAATAGGGTGTTCTTCAACTAAGGCACTTGGGTACTTTTAATACCCCTGAGGTAGATTTATTAAAACTATAGCAAATTTCAACATTGTTTTTACGTATTTAAATCTATGACAATATAAGCCATCTTAAGTAGATAAACCATTAGGTTAGTATTGATTAAATGCAGATTTCAGATCAAATTTCCTGTGTCAAATTTACACAAATTATGTTTAGAATGCACAAAATGTCAGCTATGAAATGAACCTTAGCAAAGGTCAACCATTGTATTCATTAAAATGTCATTAGCATCAGTTTTACCTCAGAATGTTGAGATCTGGTGGACCATGGAAATGTTCACGACTTTCAGAAATTAGACTTAAATGACAATATTTCAGATACATACTATTTGTAAGTAGACAAATTAACTTTATTACAGTTTTTTTAAGAGTTCACAGCGCCAAAAGGCTCATAGTTGAAAAAAACACACATAAAAAGCCTATACAAAAAATAAAATTATATTATGCCATGCAATGGTAAATTTATTTAAATGCATTTAATCAGAAGTGCTTTTAAGTGATGCCATTGATTTCAATAATCTGTTTTGTGCATATTGTGATGATAGCAGGTGACTGATCAGCTTATCCTGAGATGTTGAAAATCTTCTCGATGAAAGCTGAAGGCAGAGAAAAGAACAGAAGGCCCAAAAAGATCAGCCCGGTTATGCTGAGCAGAGTCACCACTGTGGCCAACTTATACTGCCGCCAACCCATTATGCAGGTCACCCGTATTGGACTCAACAGCCACGACAGGCTAGTAGATGGACGACTGTGTGAAAGAGAACAGGGTTTTAAACTATCTCACACACATACATGCATACCCACACTATGGAAACAAGAAACGTGCAGTTTTTATTGCAGAGTTCATTTTATTGTCTTCATACTGACAAAAATAAATTAATCAATCCATATTGCACACTTGTGAACAAGAATTAAAAATACACTCTTTTATAAACCAGCCAAAATCAGTGCAAACAAGTCCATGGTCAAATGCCATTCATTAAATAGAGCAACAGTGCATAGCAAGCAAACAAGTACATAGCAAGCAAAATCAACAGTAGGACGTATAGGAAAGAGTATTCTATTGTTTTCTTTAAACTTGAAATGTCAAATTAAACATCATTCCCCTATTAGAATCTGTGTTTCTCTAAAGGATAAACAACATTGCTGTAACTTACTGGAATGCAGAAGATTTGTGTCATTGACTGAAAGTGCAAACATCAAGGCAATGTTTAATCAAATAACATACTGTATATGAGGCCTGTAACCCTATCATAATATTTTTTTTTTCAGACTGCAGCCACTGATGAACAAGTCATCTTTCTTAAGACAAAGTTGCATGCTTATTGTGCTTTTAGCAGCGACACGTTCACGTCTAGACAATAACTACAAAATCCAAGAATTTGAAGCAATGCATTCATATGAACATATACCATAAACGCTAGTCCAGTTTCATTTCGTACCAAAAATAAGCACTGCTGCTTTCTTCATGTGACTAATTATTCTTGAAATGTACAAATAGAAAGATAAATAAGATAATTGATCTTTTCCAGGTAAGACATGCAATTTGACACCGAAAAAGATATTTGATACGTTATGCTTAGAGTGCAAATATGAGAGATGGTAAACTCTTGAGATATTGTTTAAAAATAAAACAAGTGCTTTAAATTGAAACCAAATATTAAAGGGACACTCGAGAGGTCAAGGGCAAATGACTCCTCTTTAGGCCCCAAGCAGCTTCTTGACCAGATAGCCTGGCATGCTGTAGAGAAACAGGCCCACCATGATTAGCAGCAGCAGAGCCAAGATGATCTTGATGATGAGCCACTTGTAGCGGTTGCATATCAGGTAACGGATAGCCTTCAGTGGGCTCAAAAACCACAGGAAGGTGGTGTCAGGACGGCTGTGATTGGAAGTGGTGAAGGGGTTGCAGGTAAGAAAGATGAAACCAGGGATGATGGAGGAAGAGAGGTAATACAAATGTTAGTGGTTAGTAAGATGATTGGTAACATGATTGAAAAGTCGTAAAATCTCTTAAAAGGCATTTTAACTGTTTAGCAATGACTTAAAAAGGAAAGTTTGATAACGTCACACTGAACATGAATATTGAATATTGCAGTGTTTATTATATATGTCACTTCCATTTGCAATGACATCTCTACTCTGATGATGAGTCAATGATTCCATTAATTCCCGATGGATAAATGGACAAAATCATGTCCATCATCAAGTAAATGATGGCACAATTTTAATTGTTTGGTAAACTCTTCCAAAGAGCTGGTAAAAACGTTAGACTAGGGTTAGTCAACGTCGGTCCTGGAGAGCCACTGTCCTGCAGGAATTAGCTCCAACCCTGAAAAATACTCAACTGCCTGCATCCTTAGTAATCCTAAAGATATTGATTAGCTTGTTCAGGTGTTTTTATTAGGGTTGATCATCCATTGCTCTCCAGGAATGACGTTGACTACCCCTGGCCTAGGTCTACTGTGTGTGTGAGAATGATACTGTAACTTTGCAGTGGGTTGAGCTCAGAGCAGTAAAATGACACATCAGGCAACAAAGGTAAGTTCAGAGAAAGCACAGTAGCAGACAGTCCTAAAATCTATAATAAATAATGCAAGTCATTGACAAAAGAAGACAACCAGAGGAAAAATGACCACCAAAAAGACTTGAGGTACCACACAGCATGCAGCTATGCGGTAAGAAAGAGTTGGGATGACAAAATGGAAAACACTTAATCACACACAATCTCTCAGGTCCATGTTGTAGGCCTTTAAAAATGGAACGAGTAACAAAAAGACAGAAATGCACTGATGCACAGTTTGAGCTTAAAGGTTTGCTCAGAGAGAGACAAAAAGCAGAGAAAACAGAGGCAGTGAGAGAGGGCTACCAGTGATCTTCCCCTCTCTCCTCACGCCCCTAGGAGTTTCTTGACCAGGTATCCAGGAATAGAGTAGAGGAAGAGCCCAACGAGGAGGAGGAGCAGTAGCAGGGCCAGAGCCTTCAGGATCAGCCAGCGGTAGTTGTGCCAAATGAAGTATCGTATGGACTTCAGAGGGTTCATGAACCACATTAGACTGGTGTCTGGACGACTTTTTCCAAAAACAGGAATGGGGGTTGAAATGAAGAAAACGAGCAGGAAAGGGCAGGCGAGGGAAAGGGCAGTCACAGGAGGAAGGAAGGATGTGAAAGAGGAGAGTGGGAGTATTAGAAAGGGAAGTTAACAGTTTCAGATGGGCATTCTTCACTGGACTTCATAGTAGACTTGTATAGTCTACACTAGAGTATATCTTTTTATTCATAATCTGAAATGGCATTTTTTTTTCTCAGATGTGCTAGGCACCATGTGAGCGGAAGCAAATATGTGTAAATGAGTTGCTTTATATCTTACTTTGGTTTCTCAAGTGGCTCAGGTTCATTCCGTCCAAGGCCGACTGGACTTTTCTCAGCCTCCTCAGCTGTCAATAGATGGAGCTCTGCTTCCACTTTTCCCTGCAACCATGACATGGTTGGAATGTTCATGACGTACACTCAAAAATGAATTTTGGCCTCTTGTTAAAATAATTAATTAAAATAAGCAGAAGTAACATGATTGTTTAATATTGTCACAACTGAATTAAATTGTGTTCAATAAACCTAATTCATTTGTGTGAAATCTACATGAATCATTGTTGTTGACATCTAAGTGGGCAGTGGATCTGTAGTTCCCAGCATGCTTTGCAAGGGACTGCATTAAGTGTTATTTTATGTGTTTTTCAGTAAATGGAAAGATGTTGTTAGTTAATGTTAGTGTTTTATGTTCAGTTATGTTAGAGAGTACTTTCTGTAATGTTTTTGAATTTTGTGGTTACCATTATGCAGAAAAGTGGTGACTGTGTTTAGGTCAGTATTGTGTTCAGACTCAATATTACTCTATATGTGCTTTAAACCTTCTTTTCAGGCTGTGGGTACTGTGCCTCACTCACAGTCCTACACAAGTAAAATATATTACTATGTAAAAAATAGCTTAAAAGTGTCTATCATTAGAAGTGACCATAGAGTCAAAATAACTAAAATTATAATGTTGGTGAATTAAGGCAGGACAAAACTAAATGTAGTTAACCTGACAAAACTTTATCTAGTAGGAATGACTAAATTAATTTAAATTTCCTTAATTTAATTAAGTTCGTTCAACAGATTATTTTTTTGAGTGTAGCCTTAGCAATTATTCCAAATACATTACATGCTGGCAAATTATCAAGCAGTAAAATAAACTTTAGATACTTGCATTGTATTAACTCACCGTAAGCTCAAATTCATCATTCTCATCTCGGGCCACAAATGGCCACCAGCCCTTCACTCTCTTCTGTTTGAAGATGGAAATGGTTGGCAGCTCATGTTCTTTGAGAACCATGTTGAGAGAGCACTGCTTGGCTGTTTTTGCCCCACGGGGAAACTTATTTAAGTCCAACTCAATCGCACCTGTGGAATTAAATCACAGGCAGTATAAAAAAATATATTTTGAATGAAACACATGGACTTTTAATTGAGCACATTATTAACGACAATAATCAAATTACTCTTCAAACCCCAAATTATGTTGCTATACATGCATATAACTCATAAATATCTAACAATATTTATGTTTTGTGAGCATACCCAGGAAGTCATCAGCAGAGAAGTGATCAGCATCCCACACTTGAAGGGTGAGTCGAGCAGGAATCTTGTACTCCGTCTCATCCCAGGAAAACATGGATTCCTTCTTGGAGATGACTATCTTCTCCTCAGCCATTAGATAGTCAAAGGGGTAGACAAAGCGCCAGTTGAAGTTTCCCTCCCCAGTTAGAGAGTGATAATGCACATCTGTGTCCTGTTTATCCTCCTGCTGTCCTTTCAGCCAACTGAGCAGGGAGATGATTTTCAATTGTTAGAAGTAGCACAATAATATTTTATTATTTATGCAAAGACATATCCAATCCAAGCATGGTATACATAATAGTCATCAATGACTTATTGTATGTCACATGACAAAACATGCACAAATGAAATATATAAAATGCTAAATAGACAACATGCATATGATAGCATTTATACATATCAAGTTGTTGCTCCATTCTGCATCAGGAAACTGAACAAAATAAAAGTTATACCCCATGGCCATTGCAGTAAGATGTTATTAAACATTTTTTTTAAGTCTGAATTATTATATTTTAGGTCACACTTTATATTATGGTCCAATTCTCACTATTAGCTATCTATTTGCCTCAATAAACTATTAATTAATGCTTTCTTATTAATAGTTAGTAAGGTAGTTGTTAAGTTTGGGTAGAATTAAGGGATGTAGAATATGATCATGCAGAATAAGGCATTAATATGTGCTTCATAAGTACTAATAAACAGCCAATATCCTAGTATATGCATGCTAGTGGGAATTGGACCCTAAAGTGTTGCCATATTTTATTATAAAATGCAAAGACTATGCACTGTAGATCATCAATGCATGACTCAGTGTTATGTTCTTGTTACTCTTTGAAAATATAATTTGAAAGAGAGTGCATGTAATATACTCTCTAAATAGAAAAGAAAAATAGATGCTTGGCCTGACATCTAGTCAATTATCTGCACTTTAGGCTTGCATCTGCAGAGCTTTGTATTCTGTCCCAACAGCATTACATTATATAGGGCTACAGTCTGTATTATGTATTTCTTTGAACCATTAATAGCCAACTGTATGAATCAAATACATGCATAATTGTATGCGTAACTTTACAAGATAGATAGATTCAGTTCTTAAGCAAAATGTTGGTATGCAAATGCCACATGTCAGATTATAAATGTAGGTTTTGGCATGCAAAGAGACATTTCTTATGCTTTCATGCAGTAATTGATACTGTGAAAGACATCTCAGTCCCCAAGACATACTAAACAAAAATGCCTCTATAAACCAAGACCATACCAGTTATTGAATATTAAATTGAATATTAAATGTACATTTTAAATTCAAATTTCTATATGAATTATGAAGGGAATTTAACTCAAAAGACAACTGAATTAATGTAAATACTATTATACAATTAAATCAGAGGTTATAACTAGAAATCTGCATCATTTTGAATGATATGGTCCAGTTTAACTAGGATCAGCATGGAAGGTAGTATTATTCTTTGGATGTGAATGGAGGGGGCAGGTACAGATTTCTGCAGGCGGTGGGGAGAGCGGTCAGGCCATGCGATTGTATCGTCTTTACCCCCTGACATAGATGTCAGACATCTTCTCTCCTGTCATGAAAGCATCGTCCTCTAGAACTACGTCATCAGTGTTCCAAATAATAACACGAAGCTCAAAGCTAGATAACAGCACAGCAATGACGTGGGGAGCAGGGAGGGGGATACACAAAAGTACATCAAACGCAACAAGACAGACAAACAACAAAAGGAAACAGAAAACAAACAAAAAGTAACAGATTAACCACAAACTCTTCACACACCTGCCCATACCTACCCCCTCACAAATATGTCACTGGACTTTTCCCCTGTGAAGTAATCATCATCTTCCAGAATTACTTCGTCAGTATTCCATATTATCACCCTGAGCTCATATCTGGGAGATGAGTGGAGGGGAAGGAAAACAATGGGATCATCATCTCACACTGTAAATATTGTTTTAACCTAGAAAATTGAACTGGTTTAATTCAAATCAAAAATATTAGTTGTAACCAAAGTGAAAAGGTAAAAACTGCTCCGTAAAGATGTGATTGACCTTTTCACTTTCTTAATGCATGTTCCTGGTCTTGTAATTAATTCCAAATTGTCGTCGTAATCAAAACGTTATAGTCTTCTCTTTTTAATAGTTAGTCTGTGCACACTGTTGGATATTGGTATTAGAAGTGCAAATAGCTTTTTAGGCATCATTTTAGCAAACTCACAGGTCTGGTTCTATTCTGTAGAACTCACTTTCACAATTCAATCCTATCCAGATGAAATCAGGATCCGCTTTACATTTATTTCTACTTAAATATGCCATGCATTCAGAAATGCATTTATGTCATTAAACTGCACATTTGGACTTTTGGCAGTGCATGAATATCTCAGACTCAAGTAGGACCATTTCACAGTACAGGCCTTGTTAGAAATTGGCACATTCTTGATTAACATGAAAAAAATAAAGGCAGATGAGAGGCGTGAAGATGGCAGAGTAAGTATGAGAAGTAAAATAATAAGGACAGTGTGTTGTTTCTACAAGCTCTAGGTGAGAAAGAGTGTCATCTATTTTGTAGCTGAATCACAGTAGAATCTCTGTAGTTAAACACAGTTAAAAACTATTATAGTAAACGATTATATAGTAATTTGCCATTCACAGTTACTTCGTCATCCAAAGCTTTTAAGTCATCCAAAGAATATTAATTGCAAAAACAGTCCAGATAACAAACCAATCTGTTCCTTGCTTAAGGGTGTAATGAGCTAAGATTGAGAAAGTGATTTAAGAATGACTGATGACTAAAGCTTCCAATCTTTGTCTCATTTTCTTCAAGGCTAAACTCAGTGATGCACATATCAAAATTTCATTTTGTTCCATGTACCTAGAGACGTTAAGGAAAAAAACTGTAAAAAATGATTGCAACATTATGCACATATGAAATATTAAAGCCTTAACTGCAACAAACTATTTGAGATTAAAAGAGCATGAATAAAGGAAAGGCAGCAAAAGTTTCACTGATCCTGATTCAAAATGTGTTTAAAATGGAGTGAACTGAGACTTCGAACAGAATCATCTACCTCTTTGGTTTGCGTGGTGATATGTCAATGGCTGGTCCTGGTGCTGGTATATCCATAGGAAACATGTCCACCCACATTTCAATCCTTCCCTGTGAGTTAATGAACATTTGAGAAGTTAACCAGTTAGGTACAATATAATGATGACAAATTAATAATGACATTTTATTTACATTCCCTCATTTATCAAGCATACATAAACTGCTGAAAATTATGCAGCTGTTTATTCATCCTCTGAATTAGTTACCAATGATGGAAAATTCAGCAAGGCCACTTGGTGAACATTAGAATATGTCCTTGGTAATAGAGCTGTATTTTGTTGCACACGAATGCATACCTGCTCTATGCCTGGCTTGTCAGGGTTGAGGAGCGGCCTGGTCTCTACATGCTCAGGGATGAGTTTACAACCAACACGTGGGATCTCCTCCCAATGCCTAAGAACAGTGAGAGCCAAGTGTTCTTCTGTCTGCTTCTTCAGACCTGTAAGCCAAAAAAAAGTTTATCTTTTTTTATAAACAATAGGACAATAAAAATGTTAAATTATCTGTATAAGCTCTTAAATGTCTCACCACTCTCATCCTCAATTTCTGTAACCCCAAGAAAAACGCGGTTTGCAACTTTGACCCTCCCACCAGGTCCATAGTGGGGTCCATCCAATTTGCCTTCTTTGCACAACTTAGCAAGGATCTGAGTTGGTTTCTGAGGGTCCCGCCATACATTGTAACCATGACTGTCAGTTAAAAATACAACACTGTTAGTTTAACACATAGTTTAAGACTTTACATTTGGCTTGGACAGTTCAAAACAATTTTCAAAACAATTTCTCTTTTCACATATGCTATTACAGCAATTATGATTACTTAGATCACATTATGTAAAATAAAGTAATCGATTGACAACCCCAAAATGTAAATACTTTAGCATGCTGTTCTATAAAGATTTGCGTCTTTGCAAATGTGTTGGTCCCATAAATCAAGTAAAATAGGGGCAGAGAGTACTCACACAGAGTAGTTGGATGCGATGCCACACGTGGCTCTGTGTTTGCTGTAGAATCTGTTCTCCAAATCAATCTTAGTCTCACCAATCAGGTCATCGGTTCCGACTAAATCCCAGTCATATACTGCCACAGTCAGCATGGACTCCATTGGGAATGTGGCCTCGATGTCAAATGACCTTAAGGAAAAGAGAGAGATAAGGGTGTGCTACATGAAGTGCTTTCAAGAAATGTATATCTTCTAGCTTGAGCTCAAACCATTGTTTTGGTTGGTTTACAATCGTATCGCCTACTCACTTTCCAAACACAGGATTCAGCTGCTTGGATATGTAGTTCTCCTTGTCCCGAATCTCCGACTTTCCCAATCGAATGACTATATAAGGGTCTGCTTTACCATTTATATCTGCAGGATGCAGGTCTGTGGCCTGAGAAGAGAGTCATGTTACTTTAGCTGACACAGTACTGCACTAATAACACCTACGTATAATTCAGAGTTGAATTCACTTACTCTAACGATATAAATCCTGATGAGAACATTGATAGGGTCATTGTGAGGTGTGCTTTGGAACATTCCCATGTTCGGATCAAACCCTGACTCCCGGATGATCTCCTCAGACAGTGGTAGTTTATACATACAGAGGGATCCCTGGTTCACAAGGAGACAGATTCAAACATGAAAAATGACATTCACACTCTCATTCTGAAACCTGATATTTACATATCTTTATGTATATGTTTGTGTGTGTTCTTACCTTGAATCTGCCCACAATTCTGTCATCATCGACCACATTGTGGTCATCATCATCTCCAGCCTTTCCTCTATACAGATTGAAGGTGTGGAGCCAATCCTCAAAGTTACCATACTCACACTCCAGCTCTTTATTGTACACCTGAGAATGAGATAAAGGTGTTCATATTTATATTGAAATTAGCTGAAATTGCTACAGATCACAGTTCCTTTAGCTAATATACCCTTTTCAATTAAAAGTTTGGGTTGTGGATTTTTTACTTATTGATGTTTTTAAAAGAAGTCTCACGTTCTAATCATTTATTTGATCAAAAATACAGTAAAAACAGTAATACTGTGAAATGAAAATTATCGTTTTCAGCCGTTATTATTCCAGTCTTCAGTGTCACATGATCATTCAGAAATTATTCTAATATGTTGATTTGGTGCACAAGTAGTTTTTCTTATTATTATCACAGTTGAAATGGTTGTATCGCTTAATATTTTTGGGGAGGCCATGGTACTTTTCAGGATTGTTTCATGGTTAGAAAATTCAAAATAACACTATTTATTTAAAATCGACATTTTTTGACAATGAAAAAATAATCTTACTGACTCTTGAACAGTGGTGTAAGTGCATTCTGAATTAAAGTTCTTTATAAAGCAAGAAAGAAAAACACCTCCAGCTGTAGACTAATATTTTCAAAAAGACGTACTAACCATAAGTTCATCAACTTTTGGTTTTGGAGGTCGTTTTTCTGCGCCATCATGGTTTTCTTTTTGTCCTTGGAGCTCTTCTTGTCTTTGCTCTTCTCCTTGGGTTTGGTGCCTTTCATAGGAAATTCATCAGCTTTGATCTCTGAGGTTATGGATGAATGAACACAGGTATAGATGGAAATGAGAAACTGATGAGCACGACACATACGAGGCTAATTTGAATGGACGTTTGTAATGATGAACAATGATGTTTTCAAGCCATAAGAGCTATTTTAAACACTCAAACTAACATGGATTGTGTATAATTTACAAGATGGATCTCTTCATTAAAAACATTCATTAAATACTTTAAATACTCTTCATTCATACATTAAAATTCAATTGAATTACAAGTAATATATGGAAAAAATTGATCCCAAAGTGAAGATTTATCATAGCTTGTAAATGTTTGTGTCCAACTTTCATGGCATGAAAAAGATCAGTATAACTGGGTTTAAGTCATGACAACAATAGTGATGGATGATATGATGGGATGATAGTGTTTATCAGAACTGTGTCCTGTGGTTACCTGCACTCTCTGCTGCTATCTCCAAATCCTCTCTTTCCTCTGCCTCTGCCAGAGCAGCCTCCTGGGCTCTGAGATTCTGCATTCACAGAAAGTTCAAATAAAAATGTACAGTATATATCAAATGTAAAGAATCTTTACTAAGTTGAAATTTAAAGACATCTCCTCCCCACCTCCATCATTGTCTCTATTGAGGCAAAGTATTTGGACCACCAATCCAACATGCTCTCATCCGGCTCATCTTCCTCCACGTCTTCTCCCTTCTTCTTCTTCTTTTTCTTTTTTTTGTCTTTCTCCTCCTCGTTCTGTTAGCACAAAGGATATTTTGATGTTTATTTGACAATAAATGTAATGTGTTTACAGCGATTAAATCCAACTTAATGAAAATTAAATCTAAAACATTTAAATCTGTCTAAACCAAACCAAGACTTACCAAGTCAACTTTAACAACAGCATCGGTGGTCTACAAGGACAGGGCCACACAAAACATTCATCAAATACAAACATCCACAAAAGATTCTACAATAGCATACTAGCATACATATCACGTGGCTGTTGTTAAAGTCACCATGAAATCTGGAATGTGCAAAAATAAATCATTATAAATGATTTATTGTGCACATTATTGTTATTTTTATTTATTTACCGGTATGTCCTGCCCTTATAATCTTTAATCAAAATAATATCCCTCCCCTTGCAATAGCACCCTTCCTCTATCACTATTTCAATTTCATGCCGACTTTAAAATGGGACATTAAACTTAAAGCAGTAAAACGAACAGAACCACAGTAGGAACAAAAATACTCAAAGCCAAGCAGTTTTCTAAAATATAACAGCACGGCACATCTACTCACAGCATCAATCTTGACAACCGTGTCCATCTTCTTAATGTTGGGTTCAGGGTCCATATTGACAACAATATCACCTGAGGGATAAGAAATGGGACGGGAATGGGGGCGGGAATGAGACGTCCCATTGGTGAGAGCCATGTAGCCATTGGCCAGTCTAGCTGGAGTGGGTAGGGTCATAAGATTTAGCAACCAATGACCCAAGACCAGCACCAGGACAGAAAGGTTAAGACCATGAAGAGGGAAAGGAAGAAGAAATAGAGAAAAGGATGAAGAAGTCAGAAAAGCTAGAAAAAGAAATGGTCTGCACAAAGAATTCAAAATAAAAAATAAAAAAACAACAACGATAGACTGTAAATGTCTTTCTTTATTCACACTACCCTTCAAAAGGTTGGGGTTGGTAAGGTTTTTCTTTTGAATTTTTTTATTTATTTTTTTAAGAAATCTCTTATGCCGATGAAGACTGCACTTATTTGACCAAAAATACAGTAAAACAGCAATATTGTGAAATATTATTACAAATTAAAATAACTTTTTACTTTTATATGTAATTTATTCCTGTGACGGCAAAGATCAGCATCATCGCAAGACGCTTCAGTGTCACATGATCCTACAGCAATCGGTCTAATATGCTGATTTTGTTTCTTTTAATTACTAATGTTTAAAATAATTGTGCTGCTTATTTTTTCAGGATTCTTTGATCAACAGAAAGTTGAAAAGAACAACATTTTTAAACAGAAATCTTTTGCAACATTTTAAATGTTGATGTTGATCAATTTCCTGCATCCACATAAAAGTTTGACCAGCTTGACATTTATGTCAGATGGCATGTTTAATGAATGTTAAGTAATTTGTCATCTTTGCATGCTAGAATAAACAAAATTGTTCTTATACAAATATGAATTAGAAAAGCAATTGGGAAAGTTACATTATTTTGCATTGTTATACTTAATTATTACAGATTTATGTCTATATGTGTATATGACAGGTACCTGTGTGAGCCCAGTTGTTAGCAGTCTTGTCTGGGGGGCTGTAGATGAACTTGCGAAGGCTGGTCACAGCATGAGACCCAACCAAGGTGTAGCGTCCAAATGCCCTACAGTCCACCACCCGAATATTGAGGGGTGGATGGAGTAGCTCATTTTCTGGCAGATCCTGCAGCACAAGATTACTTAAGTTAACCTTTTTAAATCAGAAAAAAGTGAAATATATAAATGTACTGTACAAATATAAATTAAATCACCACTTCAAACCACTTGACTAATGTGCTGAAGTTTGGATTCTTCTTGTAGTTCTGAATGAGGGCTGACTGAACTCCTTTCCCTGCACACTCAATGTCCACACGAGGCCTGTCCACCTGGGCCAGGTTGATTCTTTTAAGGTCCCTCAGACCCCAAAAGAGGACCTGGAGAGAAAGAAAGGCTGCGGCTCAACATAACTGAAGCAAAAACGCATGAGCTTCAAATTTAGTTAACACAATTGTTAAAGGTACAATATGTAGGATTTTTGCAGTAAAATATCCAAAAACCACTAGGCCAATGTTATAGATTTTGTTTAGTTGATTACTTGCAATATCCCAAACGTTTCCAACTATTTGTAAATCGTGAGACAACTGCGATTTTAACCAAGAAAACGGGTCGTGTGAGCAGGGGTGAGGGAGTCGTACTACCACAGTAACCATGGCGACAGACGTGGACAACTGGCTTATGCCTAGAGGACGCTCATGCTGTTGTTGTTTTATTCAAACATTATGGACCATGGCAAGCAGACTTTGAGACAAAAAGAGGACTAAAACAAAGATCAACATCTTTCAAGATGCTAAAAGCTCCACATCCGCGACTAACTTTGACTTCACAGAGACGCGAGTGTTGCATGTACTTAATTAGACAGGTGAGCAAATGTACATAAAACTAATCAATGTTATTTAGTTCAACATGATGAATTGTTAGAATACATGATCTGTATGTTATTTTAATGTTGATCAGCTTACTGCTATTCTCTTACAGCCAACTAACAATCTAACTAACAACATTCAACACACTAAAATACCGTTTAGTGTGATAGTGTAACTGTTAGAGCAAGTGAAACAGCGCTGCGTTACCTCAAGTTTAATTTGTCTAATAAACTGACCTGTGTGAGTATTAATTTAGCACTTGCGTGTAGTTCGGTAGAATGAAATGTCCTTATTCCTTAATATCTGTGGGACTCACGTTGTGTGTGGCGCTGGTATCCGTCTCTCATTAGCAATCACGCCCTGCTTTACACCACAGTCATGTTAAAAACATAATTGTATTCACTCATCCATAAAAGATCCATCAGCTTGACGACAAGATCCATAATTACGCTTAATGCATCAATATACACTTTGTTATTGTAAGAGGATAGCGACCCCCTGGTGGCGAAAAATACTACATATTGTACCTTTAACAGTCTTATTGTAGCTTTCTACGGCTATTTTCACCTCTATGCGATATCTGCTGAGAACTGGTCTTATGCCCAATGGAACAGGCAGGATGGGCCCGCGGTCAGAATCAGTTGGGCCATCAATTGGAGGAAGTGCTGCCCGCCCTGCTGGACCAATCTGTGGATAAACAGATATTACAAAATGAAAATATATAACTCATTAACTAATGAAATAATAAAGTAATTACTGACTGATAATAATACTGATTAAATCCTCTTTTTTGCCAAACCCCTACCATGCCTTGAAAAACAGTAAAAAGAAAAGCACAGCAATAGCGGAGAGGATGAAGTCACTTAGACAAGAAAGGAAAACAAAGACAAGAATTAAAGAGGGGGAAATGTGATTTTGTTTATTGCACCTTGATTTGAGGCACTGCAAAGTCATGGACAGCAATGAGAGCCCTTCTGATCTCCTCATCATCATAAGGAATCTGTCAAGAATTCCATGGAAGTGTAAAGCAGAAAGATAGGACAGAGGATTGTGGAAACTTGTGATGGGAAATGACATAAAAAGATCAAGAATCAACGATAAATGAGAGGAAAAGAAACAGAGTGGTCTGTATATGCTATTTAAGCAACATTTACTGTATGAACAGATAGGCCAAGCATTGACAGAGTCCATTCAGGATTGGAGCATGTACATGTTGATCACAACCACTGTGTACAGGCCGTACCTGCAGTAGTTCAAAAGCAGCCAACAGATCTCCTGCAGTGCAGTTTCCTCTGTAGATTTGATAGTACTCCAGCTGGGGGGGAAACCGCGGCGGCCCGTAGTGTTCATCAACCATCTTAGTTAGTGGCTTTGCAAATGTTCGCCCAATGAACTCTGCTTTCCCCTGGATGCCACACACACACACACACACACACAAAAACATGACAGTTACACTACCGCCTCTGAACACCAGGGGTCAGTGTGGCCACATTGTAAAATCACTTTCACATTAGGGCTACTGTTTTGCCGGGTCTTTGAAGGGATACTGCACTTTTTTTGGAAATAGGCTCATTTTACTACTCCCTCAGAGTTAAGCAGTTGAGTTTTACCATTTTCAAATACATTCAGCAGATTTTCTGATATTTAGAAGAATATCAGTAACCAGTAACTGGTCTCGTTGACTTCCATAGTAGGAAAAAATATATACTATGGAAGTCAATGGGACCAAAAACTGTCTGGTTACTGATATTCTTCTAAATATCAGAAAAATCGGCTGAATGAATTCGAAAATGGCAAAACCAACGTTTAACTCTGGGGGATTTGTAAAATGAGCCTAGTTCCAAAAAAAGTGGAGTATCCCTTTAAAATCAATCTTTGGTGGTCAATTTTACATTTTTGTTAAATGTAGAACATAAAGGTTTGCTTTCACAGAAGTCAAATTCTGCAATTGTTTGGTTTCTTCATCTATGCTCAATCCTTCTCTAAATTTAAAAAATGATCATTTATATTATATCTGACCTTGGCATTCAGCTGTCAATAAAATAAACCACAGCAATGATTACTACAAACTACTGTAGAGACTACAACTACAAAGAAACATCAAGTTGAACGGTCACAACCAAGGGAATGCAAGAGGTAGTTTATTGCCACAGGAAATTGTGTTTTTATCACCAATTAATGGAAATGGTGACTTGAGACTTGATCTTGTTTTTGGGACAGATTCCCAAGCAATCTCACTTCTTGCATGCCTTGTTGCATTCAGCTATCTATGCAAACACAGATTGACAGCAGTGTTGAAATGTGTTCACACTCTACTTAGCCAAAACGTCGTCCAACAAAAGGGCAGGACCAGAAGATTTTAAACAGGAAGAAACATCAAGTCAGGACAATAGGGCACATTTTCACACACTCTTATTGTGACGCACAACAGATTCTGACAACAGATTTGCCCACTGAACTAGCAAACAAACAAATCATTTGGGATTTTTAGCTTTTATTTGTGACTATATAAGACTTATATAAACTTACCACAGTGTCTTGGTCATATAGTTCAATAACTATGATTGGAGGGTCGTCACGGAGTTCACCAGCCTCACCGTAGAGTTCAACATTATCAAATACAAGCAACTGATCCCATGTAGGACACAGAGTCTCACTGAGGACCTGAAATTTACCACATACATGGATGATTCATCAATTGGGAGAACCTTTCTGTCTAAAAAAATTCTAAAATAAAAGGATATAGTATCTTTAGACTTGTTAATGTAATTACTTTTTCCTCATTTAAAGAGTAATTTCTTTAGTTTGACATTTGTGAACAAAACTATAAAAAAAATTTAAATAGCGGTCACTACCATTACGGCAAGCATTTTAGAAAACAATATTACATGTATTAATATATATAATACGTTTCTATAAATATATTTATATATGATGTATACATTTAATTTAACACTTATAAAACATAGTGAATGAAATGTTTATAAAACATTAAGGACTTAAAGTGCCTCTACTGAAGAGCACCCACAGTATTTGTGCACAGAGAACAGCATTAAATCTGACAAAACCGGTTCCATCTCATAACCAAAGACTTCAACACACACTCACCTCTGTCACCTGGCTGTGGGTGGAGAAAAAGACCCTTGCAAATGGGTCAGACAGGCCGCTATTGTCAGCAGCAAACAGACTGCGAGCCTGATACATGTGTGCCCTCAGCTGAAACACCTGCTTCACTGCAGAAGAGGATACAGCTTATCACATACTGCACATGTTTTAACATAAATGCAAAGAAACTAACATGTACAAACCATTAGGGCATATCTAATCTTACTGTTATAAACTAGGCTGACGGGAGGGACAGCTTGCATGCCAATTTCTTTTGCTGCTTTGTTTTCTTCAAAGCCGCTGGGCAGGCCGCTCAGGAAGTCTTTCCTCTGTTTGTTCAACCCCAGCCACAAATACATCTCCAGTTTAGCCTGAACTGTCCAGCCAGCATGCCCAAAGCCTTTCTTTCCAGGCAGCTATAATGAACACAAACACCCAATGCAGAACTTTTACATCAATAATATCCGACCTGATTTAACCACTTCTAAATAACACGTTTATTTGTAGAAAGAAATATGAAAATGGGATAAAAATTGAGAGTTACCCTGAGAAAAACAGCTTTAACTTTCCCACAGTCTTTGCCCATCTCTTCGTCAACAATCGAGAAGAGGATGTCTTTGGAGGGTATGCGGGCGTATGCTATCCGCTTGTTGTTGCTAATCATCCATATGAACACGTCAGGGATGCTGTGCTGGGGCTTAGAGGAAAATAAACAAAAACGGTGAGCCTGAGATGCTGATGGTGTATAGAGAATTAAGGTAACGTGATTCCTTTTACCTCATCAGCCAGGAAACGAAGCCTATGAAGGAAATTCAACACTAGCTTGAGTTTTTCGCGAACTGTGTTTCTCTTCACTTGTGAGCGAATAGTCTTAGCCTGCTGACTCATACTCTCCTAGGAACAATATAACCATGTAAATTACATTCGACATCCAAACAGCAGTTTTTAATGTCGAAACTGAGACCAAATACGTTGAGTAGCTGTACCATCTCTCTCATACAGGACTTTAGCCTCTCCCTGTCCAGCTTGGTTCTTCCGGATAGATTCTGATCTTTGTTTGCCAGTGTAACAAAACGGCTTAAATTGTGGAGAATAGGGTGGGAAAGTCAAAAGATTGCTGATTATGCTGTATAGACTTTAACTTTGATTGTTTAGATTCACTTCTACATTGTCTCACCTGCAACTTGTGCTGAGTTCTTCTAATACACCCCTAAGTCTGCGTTCTGGATACGCCTTCTCTGTTTTTATGATTTCTTGAACATCATTCAGACCTTCCTCCTGTTAACAAAGAAAGAAACGTACATGCTTAAACACTATAACGATGTTTTACAAAAATAACCCTGAAAACTCCTGCTTAGGAGAAGGAGATTGACAGGATAACAGTCACATAGCAATTTTAGGAGGAGCCTGACCAGTTTATCTGCAATCTTGTCCATTATATTGGAGTTGTAGAGCCGTCTCCTCTGGTCCTGCCACCAGCTCTTGATGTAAATGCAGGGTTTCTTTTCAAAGTAAGGCAAGTGGAAGTAATTTCTGTAAATCGAGCGAAATGGACAGTTCAGTTCCAAAACACAAAGCTAAACAACAGCTATGAAAAAGTGTGATCTGCAAATATAAAAAAGGGATTTTGACACACTGCATTTGTTATACTAGTAACAGTGTAAAGGTTTTGCTCAAAACCATCATTTCCAGATGTTTGAAGACTCAATATTTCCTTGACATTTTATCTTTTTCCTTTCCCTAACCTCTGACCTGTCAGTGATAACTGGTTTCATAGGAGGGGTGGACGGCACAGACAATAAATCTCCATCATCCTCTGCCTCTTCATCGCTAGAGTTGTTGATGAGCTCAGACTCCTCTTCCTCACTTTCTCCTCCACCCTCTTTCTTCTTCTTTGTTGATCCAGGCTTGCTCACGCCATCTATCTGGTTACCATAGTTACCTAAATGGAAAAAATATGTACATGTGGAGCTGTAAATGTTTATTTTTGATGTGTTGAATTTACTGAAGCATTGGCTGACTAAGTACATTGAAGAGTCAAAGTTTTGAAAGGTATTTTAAATTAAGCTCACCGATAGTGACTTCAAAGCTGATGGGTTTATCTCCAATTTTCCTGTCTATCATTGTGGCTTCCAAGAATGACCCGAAAAGGAAAAATTCCTCCATCTTCCCTGTGGCACTCTAAAAAAAAAAAAAAAAAAAAAAAAAAAAAAAAAAAAAAAGATCTTTAAAGGTCAGGATGCAAACATTGATTTTATATTAAAAAAGATAAAAAGACTGTTTCTGTGACCTTTTATTTCACAGCACTGGCACAACACAGCATTCTCAGACATGTCTAAGTTGCGTGTGAACTCATAAAATCATAATTGACTTGAGATGTTGGCAGCTCAGTGCTGCAAATTCAACCCAGCAGGAGTTTCCTCTCATCTAAATATATAATCTTTGATCCAATAAAACATTCAGCCTCTTATCACCCTCTTATATTCACTGTTCTTAGCAGAAAAAAAGAATTGAATCCATGCTCTTTCTTTTCCTACTGTAGTTACAGCAACTGATTGCTCATACAAAATCTATTTCAAAAGTGAGGGAATCACTTTTATTATAACTACGGCAGTTTAGTAGATAGTTTCTGTCATTCATACAATACAAAAGTTGAATTTAAAATAAATTCCCATATACTAAATGAGAATAAGGACTGACGTTCCAAAATGACGACAAAGCACCATTTCAGAGTCACAAAAATGGTTTATTTAACTTGTACTATATTTTAGCACTAATATAGCACTATATTTTAAGTCTTTTAAAGCCAAACAAAAGCTTTGTGCGAGAAACAGACTGAACGTTATAAATGGAAACTGTCGCAGATTTTTTTAAATGAAGTAGTAATGCTCGATTTGTAAATTATTTGTATTTTTGAGTAAAATCTTTTCAAACAATGTTGATCCACTTGTTTTGCTCATTAAATGATTTGCTCATTAAATGGACTTATCTGGTTCCGTAACACAAAGATGGATGCGAAGACTGTCAGGTGAATAGTGACTTTCATTTCAGTGTGTTCTAGTGTTGTCAGTTGTTATGATACTGGAATTTCCAAATTCGATACGATACCTTGAAATATATATTTTCAATACCATTATCGAAACCATGGTGAGAACTGCCATATATACCTCCATAGAGATAATTAGTTATCTCATAATTTTTTTAAATATTTTGGGTAATCTGGTTGCAATACCTTACGCACAGAAGCTATTGCAGGAGGCTATTTGAATCGATGAACTAAATTTACAAAAAGACACAAGTAAATACTAAACAGTCAGTAATAAAATAAGAACAAATAAACAACTTGCAAACAATAGCACAAATAAATACAATAGAATGAAATAAACATGGCTTTAAGTTGTTTAGATGGGTCTAACAGTAGTATTCAGGAAAGAAATACTACAGAAATGGCAGTAATCCAATGTTATTAAATACAGATACTCACAATTAAAGTTATAGAAGTTATTCAGTCAAGAGCAGCAAGTGATTTTCTTTCTTTTTTTGTTCTTTGATTAACATGACAGACAGCAGCAGATTTATTAGCCTGCCACATCTGGGGGTTTGTGCACAGCTGTCAGGCAACATGACCATCAAGGGCCAAACATTTTATTTTTATTTTTTATTTTTAGGTGTGACATATTAAGACCTGTCCAGGGATAGCAGATGTAAAATAACCTTTTGGCTAATTCTGGCATACTATACATGCATTTATGTATTATTAGTGTGCATTGTCCCTGTCAAATAAACCTGAAAATAAATACAAATCAAAATAAAGCTACAGCACTGACACTCAACTGTAACTGGCTGAATGTTTGGTTACTCAAAAGTGTGAGGGACAGAATCACCTCCCCGCGGCTGCTACTGTACACCCCTGTCTATAGCTTGGATTAATGCACAGGCTTTTAAAGCACCAGGTTAGTAATGCCATGAAGAGCAATTGGGACTACCAGCATCCTATGTTTGCCTCTTCTTTGAGTGTGATAACAAATATTGCTCTTCAGTAAAATGCATCAGACAATCAATAGTTGCTCCCAGAGGCCACACAAAATCACAGACAGCTGGACTCCCACATCAGCAATGACTTTTTGTCTGAGAAAACAAAGCTTGGCCTTGTAATTTCCCAGTGGGCAGTTGATATTTCAAATAATCTAGACTGAGCTGTAATCAATCTGTCTTCAGATATGGTACAAGAGGTTCAGAAGGTTACAGATGCCTGGGACAAGATGGAATTTGAGTTTTTAAACACCGTACAATATGTAGGCCCGCAAAATAACCTATGTGTAATGTCATGGTGGGACAGGTACTGTAAGTATAGAATTAGTTAGGATTTAGAGACTTCAGTTCTGATCTCTCAAGTGAAATGTCACAGTGTTTTGACCCAATCTATAAAGAAGGAATAACAAGGAACCTCACCTCTGAGATGTTGGACACTGGCTCCATTTGTACCTCAGTAGAGCTTATTATCTCTGTGGAAGAGGTGTCCAGGATCTCCACTGCAATGCTAATGAGGAGGCGTGCCCTGAAGGAAACACCCTCCCCCAGCCCCTCGTTCAGGTCCTGGTGCTCATCCATCAGGGTGTAGTTACGGGTAGAACCATACATATTCACCCAAGCTGGGCCCATAGTGGGCAAGAACCCTGGGGAGAGATGGAAGAGCAGTCAATTCCAGTGTCTTTTGTTTTTTAGAGATCCACTCAAGCACTGTTTATGGATGTACACACATTAGTGTTCCATTGGGACAGATAACTGGTACCTTTGTCTCCATCATTTGAAATCTTGCGTAGATCGATGAAATGGGTTCCTATGGCAACATCATTCACCTTGTCTGAATCACGGATCTGAACTTTCAAACGCCTACACAAAGGTGGGAACATCTCAGTGAAGACTATTTGCTCATTCCAGATGGGCTCGTAGCTGCTCTTCTGAACTGACGTTTTACCCTGCATGTGTAAGGTGTCATAAGAAATGTGTATAATTAAAAAAATAACGGTTGCAAAAAGGTGAGGAAATGGATCTATTCGTGAAAGTTTAAATATTTATTACCAAAAACTCAGAACTAGAAACAGAACAACCGTTAATATCGTGATGTGAACGGACAAAGAACTCAAAGAAAGGCAGAGACAAATTAATCAACTAAATGAATGACTGGTGTAACGGATAATCAAACAATGAAAAACCATGGGAAGTAACTAACAGAAAACTAGGACACATGACAAACCCAGGCAAAATGCAAACAAACAAGAGAATCCCTTACAATAGTAATTTTTCTCAATGTCTAATATATAAAATTGGATGGATAAAAATATTGATCTCTTACTGAGTGTCTTTAGGACTTTCTTACCTTCTGCCCTGCAAACTGCACCAGGGCATAAGGGTCCACAAGGTCTCTGTTCTCCCCGATAAAAGCTTTCTTCACGTTGGCCAAGATACTCGTGTTCATTTTAGGTAGTCCCTCGGCTCTATAAATCTTGACATAAAACCGAGCCCACTGTCTCTCTGATGGAACACCCTCCGGTAAAAGAAGATTTCTGTAATACATCATAACGAATATGAGAACAGACCAAGGTGACACTCAAATAAATAAATGAACAAATTAATTAATAAATGTATAAATAAATCATATAAATAACACATCAGATGGTATGGTATGCAGTTTACACTTTTGTTCATGAACATTTGGGAATCTAAAGTACACTCAAATTTATAAATGCATGTAGGAATGTTTATGTATGAATATATCCGTTTCTAACCCCTCTATGTCATCCTCATCTGTTTCATTGGCCTTGTGGGGAGTCTTGATATTGTCTCCTTTTCCAACGACTGCAATGTCACACTTAACGTAACCTTTGCAGCCAGCTGTGATGTCATCAGGGTCGGACAGCATTGCCCATTTGTGATGGAACTGATGCTCTGTAATGTACAAGTACCAATTAATAGTCTTTTTCCTATCTAATAAGTACATATCTTACTTATTTCAATGGTTACTCACCAGCTTGTGAATAAACAGTTCCCACATCTAGTTTGAAGGTGCCTACCAGGGTCCCACTTCGTAGAAGGTTTTTAGAATGTATTACCTTAAATTTAGAAACAGAAATACAACAGTTTTCCAATGAGTTTTTATTTTATTTATAATACATACAATCATCTGCTGGAAGACGTGAAAAGATAATGTAAAGAGGATTAATCTACTCACTGATATCTTCAGGATCTTGTCAAACATGACATCTGGAGGCACGTGGAAGTCAAAGACAAAGTACTGTTGAGAGATAGAGAAAAAAAATTTATATAATGTCTGGATAAGAAGTTTATAAAGCTAGGTTGTTTTATGGATTCAAGATGAGTGGCGTGCTCAATTCCTTTAAAAAAAGTTTAACCTGGGTGCTCTTCGGTCCAAGGTAGGACATCTAGGATTTGTTTAACAAAGACATTTTAAGCAAGGAGTGCCTCGGTCATCAGAGATTTCTTTCTCTACTGTCTCAAAGCTAGGTTGTTTATCATATAAACAATATGGGTGGATTTACATGTTATTTAAGTATTGATACTGAAAAATATCATGAAAAAACGACAAGATAGCCTCTTTAGAGGTAGATTCTTGCAGTTCTAATCCGTTATACACTAGACGTGTCAGTAAACAGACTGCCAAACTGTCTGAAATCACAGAATTCTTTGCTCAGATTTTTCAGCAATGTGAATCTAACCTCATTGTAGTAGGGGCAGTTTGTAGACTCCTTCATTGATGTATACTTCTTTTCCTCTCCAATTTCGACACAAACCACAGGGTCCATGTTCAAACCAACCAACTGACGGGCCTCGATTACTGTAACACTGATCTGAAAGACATTTCAATCGGAATATTATCTAAATAAATTGATTAAAAATAATTATATATCTGGGGGGGAGAGTATAAACCACTCTGTTGGTGTGTGTCAGACGCTGATCAAGAATGATGAAGCTGTGTTTAGGTGGGAGGGGAATGTGTTATGCCAAGGGCTAATTAGTTAAGTTTGCTTTAGGGAATCAAATGACAAATGAGCTACAGTTTTCTATTGAATAACAGAATCATAAAGTAAATATATGCAAAGTATGCATATGTACAAATAAAGCCAAACTTTGGAAGGAAAATTCTAATACTTCAGTAAGTTTCAGTTTTTAAGTGACCATCTTATTCAGGTTTGCACAGTTAAAATTAACCACCAAATTGCGTTCGTTCTCATTTCTGCAACATTTGTGCCGTCTTTATTATAGCCTCCAAAGCGACGAGTCGCCTTTAAACAAATAAACTTCTCTCCACAGAAACTTGCTTCCAGAAGAACACTTATTGCTACAGTGATTTATTCCTGCAAAGTGCAAACGAGTCCCAGAAGTTAATGTAGGACAAAAAAGGAAAAGCAACTTCCAGCATAATATGTACAGCCTAAGATAAGGAAATTAAAAAAAGGCCTAAAAACACTTACACAGCACACAAACTGTATATGGATTTCCTGCATGTAAAGAAATTACACAGTGCCAGAACTGAAACAAATTTGCAATTCAACAGCTCAACACAACAGCCATGCAGAGGACAATTAGTAAGCCAACATAAAAGGCTTCTCTGAAAAACTGAAGCTCAAGGCCAATGTTGTTTATTTGGGACTGCTCTGTATATTCAGGGCTTTGATGCAGAATGCACTACTCAAGGATAAATGCCACTGGTTTAATAGGCCGTGCAGTTACTGTGCTTTTGTCTCTCTTCATACCTGATAATCCACAGGACGCCCTGAACTGGGCTCCATCTTAATGTCAGGTTTTGATCTAAAAAAAACAAGAAGTGAAGATCAAGCTTCATGAAATACATTTGAACTAGGCCTGTCAATTGATTAAGTCGATTTAATCGAATTATACATGTTATGTTGAACCAGGTCTCCAATGTGACTATTCAAACGTATCACATTTATCACATTTAAAATAATAATAATTAAAATAACAAATATTTGCCAATTTACCATTTTTAAACTCCAAAAATTGTTCTTTCTTTACTGAAGAACTGAACAAGATTTGAAAAAAAAAAACTTTCAAAAAAAAAAAAAAGAAATACTGAGGTTTTTATTCACTGTGACCTTTTGAAAGGATGCAAACAGATAAACTTGTGTACAGCTTTAAAAATACACATTGCGCACATCAGATATGTGACCTTTTGTTGGAGACGTTAGTGGTCACTGCAGTAACAGAGGCCAGTGATATTGTATCAGGGTCAATCCAACCGCCCAGACGCATAGCCTTTCGATCCAGATCTTCTGCATCCAAGATAGCTGGGTCATCTGTGCACAAGAGTACATCTGAGTTAATACTGCAGGTCTTTCCTATTGATGTCAAATGTAAAATCTCCAGTTTGTGACACAAATACTCAGTGAGAGACTGTAAAAACCATTTTAGTTTGGTTCCGATTTTCCTCCCAACTAACAAGTACATTTGCAACACTCTAATGATCAGCGATATTTACCTCCTTTTTTGTGGTCATCTTTGGAGCTACGTGTCTTGCCCAGTTTCATGGCTGAAAACACTCCTTTTCCTGTCCTACATAAAACAAACATTTGGGGAAAAAGGTCACAATATGTTCACTGTGATTAGTTTTAAAATCACCACTACCTCTGATCCTCTCAAACACTGAATAATTTATACCAGTTTAAACTAAGAAATATATTTATGTCACATAGATACTGTATAAAAAGCAGTCACATAAACACAAAGCTTACACATACTATAGGTAAACAGTGGATAGAAATAAAAATATCCAAATATTTTCCATATACAATTTTTTGCTCTACAGGTGAAGCTTTATCTTGTAATTACACATAAAAAACAATTTATTCTCTTATAGACAGTGCTGGAGTGCAATCAAATAATCACTGCTGGAGCACGATAAGTTTTCCCACGATGGAAAATTTCTGTGATATTTATCACTCAGACGAGACACTTGTTTCAACAGCGAGACCCCTCTGACAATAGCCCCAGTGGTGTCCAATAACTCTGCACTGATATTATGGTGATTAGATATCAGTTCTACAAAGGCCTGATGATGTCACAGGCCGGCTGGACAAATAATGGTCCTTAATTATTCAGCAAGATGGACACAATTCTCCAATTAGCTGTGATCTGCGGATATAGATACTTTCTCAGGACAAGATGAAAGAAATCCCGATCGTTTTGTTCCTTAATTTCCTTTGAGGATTTTAAACAGAGTGAAAATGTATCAGGATCACAGTGAATTATCCATTACTTGGATGAATTGCATAAATCACCAAATAATAAGACAACATCACAAATTAGGACTGATTATGGAAATGCAGTTACTTATTTCAACATTTCAAGCATTATTCTGTATTCTCTATTTGCACTGCTTTGGTGAAAGCATATCCTCTGTAATCCGTTTCGTTGAATCTTTGTCGTCATCTCAAAGTGACACTATGGAAAAAGTCTTTAGAGCTTGCAAGTTTTTATCCATTAGTAAAAATTATAAAAGTTTTTTTTTTCTAGAAGTCAAGCAATTTACTTTTTAAAGGTGGAATATTCATAAGTCAAACACCCTTCTAAAATACATACTGAGCTGAAGTATATATTTTCTATACCAAATATAGAAATGACATATTTAAGGTAGGCCTATTTACCAGGCATGTGCTCAGGGTGCAACAGGTCACTTATTGAATGACTGAATATATATAATAAAACACCAAATTAAGCTTTCAAATGTTTTCTTATTAACAGAACTCATGGATTAAGCAGGTTTACTTAACAAGTCTATGAACTGCAAAACAGAAGGAAGTTTCCATTAACATTGCTATGAACTCCCCAACAAAAAACACATATACAGGATACTCACCAAAAGCTGACAAGCTCCAATAGAGAAATATGCGCACTGAGCCAAATGGGGTAAAAAAAAAGAGAGGTATTCCTGACTAGAGTGTGTACTACATGTCCATTTTCAGTGGCTAGTCCAGATAAAAGCAATACATTTAAAATAAACACACAGGCAAAGAGACACTTCTCAAACTAAATGGGCGTCCACAATAAGGGAGAACTTGAGATGAAGCTCAGGTATGAGTGAAAAAGTAACAGGAGAGTATGTGACCTCACACACACACACACACACACACATACATAGATACACACTCACACGACAACACTCACTGACACTCACTCTCTTACAGATGTGACCGATACAATTACTTATATTAGATACTGTAAAGGAAATTGATGTTATTTTTATGTTATATTTTATGTTTATATAAATCTATAAAAAAATGTGGGGTCAGTAAGTTTTTTTTAAAGAAATGAAAAAAAAAAACATTTCAGAAAGGATGCCTTAAATTGATCGATATACTTAAAGTGATCATGTCATATACTGTATAATAGTAAACAAAGATGTTGCATAGTTTGTACTATATAAACTTGTATTAACACAAAATATGCAAAAATCTTTGTTTACTATTCTATAATATACTGTAGATCAATATTTTCCATTTTCTCCATTCTGTAAGTATGATTCATTTTTACCAATTATAAAAGTGCTGTATTAACTGTCCTGACTTATCAGATGTACAAATGAACAGTAACTGGACATAATAGTCTTCACCTTAACCTAAACAATGTCACCTTAGTGGCCCCAACAACAAAAAACAAAATAACAAACAAACAAAGAACTCTCCAGACTATGCTTGGGCTTTCATTTAGATTATGATTAGTTTGGACAAAATCGAGAAGAAAAGGCTGGATTGTATCAAGACATGATAAGGTAACCTAAGACTAATTAAATGATTTTTAGAGCGTGATGAGACCAGCTCTGTTAATCTAAGGCTTCACTTCACCAGTCAAGGAGAAACAGGCAACCCACAGCACAATCAACAGCACAAACCACAGCACAAACAACAGCGGTTCTCTGTGTCTTTGGGACTTGTTGGAGCTAATTCTGTCTCACATGCAATATTCTTACTGAAAGTCTAGCACTACTTCCTCTATGTAGGGCAGACTTTCAGCACTAACTGTTTAGTCAAGAAAGGATGGTCAGGAAACCATCAGTCTGACAGACAGCATTGCTACAGAGAACAAAGCCAGAGTCTCAGATTGCGCTTTGAGATGCACACAATGGAGGCACTATTGTGAATGCCTAGAAGGACATTTGTGGACACTGTCAGTCTTTAAGGTAGCACTTGAGACAAATAAATAACATTTGTTTAATCCCATCATTAAATGTCAAATTGTGCACTTTCGTTAAGTTTTCATTTGGTCAGCTCAGTCGATCTACATTGAATGTCCCTTAAGAAGTTAAACTTTTACAAAACAAACCCACTTTGATAAAGACACTAACCCCCCTTCCCCCTGTTTACTGAAGAGTGACCTTTGCATATTATTTAGTGTGTAGGGGTGAGCTCAGGTGACATTTTGTATTTTATGAGTCAAGATGCTAAATTGGTATGCACTAAAAGTCACTGATCACAAATCTGATGAGAAAGGAACTTAATTTGTATTTACTGGCATTTAGACATGATGGAATATGAGCAAAAATAGAGCTGATACAGCCCACCCTTGACAGGGTATAGCGGGAAGGGATTGTCACTGATTTTGGCGGCTTCTTCGGCCAATGAAGACCAGTAAGTAAATATCATGGCATTGTATATATATATATATACACACACACACATATATTCAGGGTGACAGACAACACCAAATAAGGCAAACAGGTCGACACAGTAAGCTTGCGGAAGACCAGAAGCTGATGCCGTTATGATCTGGCATCCTTTTATACTGCTTCAGCGACGCCGTCACATGACGTGATTAGGCTACACCAATCGAGATTGAATAGTTGACTTCAGACGCTTCATGCCGAAGGCAATCCCCAATGTGTCGATCCTCGATGCAACGCGAGTTCCCTCGTAAGGGAATGGTCATGTGCTGTACCTTGTTTCCCTCCTTCTGGATACAGTAGTTATATGCTCAATGTTAAGTCTTTATAAGTGAGTCATTGAATCATTCATTCAAACCAATTTAAAAATAAACAAATAATTATTTCAAATTAGTTAAATATTTTTAAAATAGACAGCAGCAATTCACATTTTGTCAGGACCTCTATAAATTACATGTTATTTTGTTTAGTTGTCTATTCAGAAATTGTGAGCTCATTCCAAACAAACAAAAATTATTGTCAATTCATCCAGTCTCGTGCAGCTCTAAGCACACATAAAAAAGAACAACATTTATTTTAAATAGAAATCATTTGTAAAAGGATAAATATTTTCACTGTCACTTGTGATCAATTTAAAGCATCCTTGCTGAAAAAAAGGAATTTCTTCCCACAAAACAAATCCACTAAGTGTGCATATGTCTGTGTGTGTGATCATGCAGCTAAAATAGAGTCAATGAAAAGTATCACTGGCCATTTCTCAACCATGACTTGGAATAAATACACAGAAATACATTTAAACAGAGATAAATGGGGTGCATTAAAAATCATAAAGCAGCACAATAAATTATGTATCACTCGAGCACTTAGGAGATCTATTGGTGTCTGATGTGAGTTTCACTGGTGACAAAAAATACTGAGCTAAACCAGGAACTCAATGGCTTTTCTTTATTTCAAATCACCAATCAGAACAAAGTTGTGGTGTAACATACAGTAACTATGACAATTAGCCTACTTTTCCCCACAAAGGTTCACTCCATAATCCTAAATATTACACATTTTAAACAATTAGACGGTTTAAACCTTATTCCAGAGACATTAATAGACTAAAGTGCTTGTTTTAATGAGTCTCATTTGAATTTGTATTGCAATTTTTTTCTGTTGACAACAATGATGAAATGAATAAGAATAATTCTGTTTTATCAATGTCACACTCTATTAAAGTAATGAATTATTGAGCACATTTGAGCTTTTGTGCCCTAGTTTTTTTAAAGTGTATGGGGGTTTCAAAGTGACAGTTTTATGCAAGTAGGAGACAAGAACAAAAGAATGGAGCAATGGAGGCTGAACATTAGACAGCAACAAAGACAGCAAACTGAACCACTAGAGTAATGCAGCAGCTCTAAATGATAAACCTCCCAGTGAAAATCCCTTTGTTCTGTAAAGATTCATTTGGCTGCAAGCTTTCGCCCGTCATTGCCCTAAGCTCAGGAGAATAATGCTTTCGCTCATGATTAAGGTTACCTTACCAACTATGACAATGAATCAATGAATCTGATCAGAACAGGTAATTCTGACAGCTAAAACCAGCCTGTGAATAGATATTTAAACTAGTTTACCTGGTCTATAAGCTGGCATTAGTTTTAGCTATTCAGCCGGCTGGTCTCCCACTTTGTCCAGCTAAAACTTTACAACAACAACAAAATATTCAAAAGAGACAAGCATAATTAACTGGGTCACACTGTGTAAGTAAACCACCTTAGGACAGAATAAAATTTGGGTTTTTTCCCCAAGCTGGGAGGCAATTTCTGCTTTACTCTAACATGAAAGCACCTCATCTAATCCTGAAAGTAAACATACAATGTTCTCAATATGATAATGATGTTGTACACAAAGGCTGATTGAAGCTGAATGGTTCAATTGAGGTATCAAAACCTTTTCAGGTTGGTTCAATGATACAGGTGCTTTTGAGGAGCTCTTCAAATGGCATGTAAAGAAAAGAACAAAACCCTTATAAAATGATGGAAAACAAAGGACTGTAGATATTTCACAAAAATACTGGGTTTTTCAACCCAAATTTGGGTCAAATATGGACAAGCCCAGACAATGGGTTAAACTGCTGGGTTTGTATATTTTTGACCCAAATTTGGGTTGAAACAAGCCAGCATTTTTTAGAGTGTACAAGTGGTTACAAATAAGAAAATGGCAATGCAAATCCATCACGGCCATTTAAATATAGCCTTGGATATAAGTCATATACTTATTCCAATGCATAAATGTACAGTTGCTGGGAAGTTATATAGTTATATAGATATAGACAAACATGATTGTGCAAAATACAAGATTTCATTCAGTGTTTCTTGTGGATAATAATTCTTTTAAAAAAAATTATTAGCCATACTCTTTTTCCTGCAACTGTGGATGGACATTGGACTGTCACATACAGAATATCTGAGTATATAAGGTGCCTTTTTAGTGCAACACAGCCCACATACTCATGAGATGTGTTGGAAGAGAGAGGGGGAGGGGGGGGGGCGGTCTAGTGGAGATGAGAGAGGGGTCTAGTCATTAGAGAGGACTAGCACTGAGAAGCTTCAGAAGCTACACACACAAACACACACTTTCTTTATAAAGAAACTGCAAAAGAACTCACACACACTTTCAGAACTAACTAAACAACTAAAACTTGTAATCAATAATGAAACAGCACCAGGAATTAAGTTCAAGTGAGGACAGTGGGTGAAATTATTAAAAAAGCAAATGCCGGTTCCCTTTCGTTCGGGAACTCCTACGTCTCGTCGGACGAATGCGTCTGTTTGCTCCGTTGGTTCCCCAACAAATGGTTAACCTTGTGAGTTCCTCCATCACCCCTCCGGCACAAGGCGAGGCGGATCACCCGCCACCAGGATAATCATCTCTTGTAGGAGTTGTTATTAGACTGGGTGGCCTTAACAGTGGTCCCTACAGTGACCCATGTCTTCCACGTTCCAGCTACCCTCCGGGTTAGCACAGTGCCTTGTCCTCGACAGTCCTGTTCTGTCATCCCTGCTGCTCTTGCGGAACAGCAGTGTGATTCTTCCTAGCTAGCTCCCGCCGTAAAGAAAACTAAGAAACTGTTTTGGCGGGAAGCTAAGCTGGGCGCTGGAAGGGGCCAGCACCATGGCATGCTATTAGGGATCCCAATTCGTTGGAAACTTCTCCGACAAGACGCTGGGGTTCCCAAACTAAAGGGAACGTCTCGGTTACGTATGGTAATAGGAAGAGGAGGAGGGAACAGAGACGTCTAGTCCCATCACCATGCTTGCTGTACCATCATAAAAATTCTTATGTTGGTCACACATCCAAAAAGAATACTCCGTGATTCTGAATGCCAGTCTCCACATCGGCACGGTGATTGACAGCTGCACACTCTCCTCAAACATTGTTCATCCACGCTGTGAAGTTGATAATTTCGCAAATGACTGCAATTGCAGATTTCAAACAGAGATGGCGACAAAGAGGAAAAAAAACGCCAGACTGCAGCTTTAATTAGTCAAAGAGTTAAAGATGCTGACTGCTGTGAAAATAGTACAAAACGCAAACACTTAAAAAATCATGTTCAATTATATTCAATTCAGAATTGGAATACAATGCATCAGCATATTTTCAAGTCTTGAAGAGCAAACTCTTGGTGTGAGCTAAAAAGCCATCTATAAAGCATCAAAGACATTGGTTTTGTGCTCACTCCTGGTCAGAAACAGGAAATATGCTGTATAAGGACTCTACACACTTTATTTGGGAGAAAATAAGCAGACTTCTCTGGTGTGTGTTTGTGTGTGACTAAGCAGCTGTCATCTATGCCAACTACACAATGCATAATAAACTATCACATCACATCCTATTTTTTCAGACCTGAGCGCTTCCTTCGCTTCTCCTTTCCCTGTCTCTTCTCATTTACTGTTACCATCTGCAGTTAATTAATGCTAAATAAAAATATGCCAAAGTTGCTTTATTAGTAACTATCATCATGCATGAATATAAGGCCCATTTTCAGAGGCATCGTGAAGAGAATAGCATTTAGATACAAACTATAGGTGAATCACTTCATCTCATGACAGTGACTCCCGAGTTAAGACATGAGAAGTTGCAGTTCTACAAAAGAATGTGAAGTTTAAATGAAGACAAAATTATAGAGAAATGAGAAGGCAAGCAATGTGAATCAGAACAGAAAAACACATCACCTTTCATCACTTGCTTAAGTGAACATGAATCTAAAAAAAAAGATTCCAGAATCAATATTTGTTTTGATAACGATGTGACATGTTGTTTGAACAATAACTAATGAATTGCCATCGTCAAATACAATATCTAAATGAAACGGCTTTCAAACAATCCAAACAACCCTTCAAAAGCACCAAAATCTCTATTGTGGCTGCTCTAATTTTCCTAATACCTTTTAACAACTCCACCAATTTAGATTTTTCTAACATTAATCATTCATACACATCATGTAAACATATCCAAATAAAACCACTAATGGTGCCCACGCACAAACCATGCTGGAATAGTGTTGGGTCTGTAATGGTTATAATTTATGGATTAAAGGCCCTGTGGAGACTGAAAGGCTTAGAGGAAATCAATACATCCCACACATTTAACTTGTCCATGTATTCATTACTCAGCAAAAATGTATACAATATACATGTTTATCTAGCACTGCGGTCCTGTGAGGCAAGACATTTGTTCCATTGTATATCACTATACAGAGGAATGCCATTAAAACTCTCTTAACTTGACATGTCAAATGGAATAATAAAATATTAGGGCTGTGCAAAAGTTAATTGCGATTAATCGCATCCAAAATAAAAGTCTGTGTTTACATAATATATTTGTGTGTGCTGTATATAATTATTTTGTATATATAAATACCTATGCATGCATGTATATATTTAAGAATTATTTGTGCTTAAATTCTGTATATATTTATAAATACATAATCTACATTATATAAATATAAATATTTTATATATTAATAACATATTTTCTTAAATATATACATGCATGTGTGTGTATTTATATATACAAAATAATTATATACAGCACACACAAATATATTATGTAAACACAGACTTTTATTTTGGATGCGATTAATCGCAATTAACTTTTGCACAGCCCTATAAAATATGCAAGAATGGTTAATCTAATTTCCTCCACATTATCTTCTTCATCACAGAGTTATCGGTGCAATATAAGCCACAACATACCGAGGGTGATGATGATGAGGGTGATTGTGTTAACAGTGATCCATTAAGAAGACACACTCACTTGCGGAATGTGGGAATGCCGTGGATAGATCGCCCAGGTGACGTCCCGGAGCTTAGGCTGCGTCCAGATAGTAAACTGTCTGTCTCGAATTGAAAGGTTCCATCACAGTCATCTGGAATATCAAGGAATTCACCATCGCTCCACACCTTCACACTCCCGTCCATGGTCTGATATTTGATCTCAATGGAAATATTTGTCTGAAATACAAAAACAAAAAAAATTTAAAATGAATTACACATATAGAGTCAGTATGTCATATTATATGCCCAGTAAAAATATTGAATATATAAGGCATGTCTATCTTTTTCAAGTAGACTATTGAATAATTGTCTTTTTGTGCATGTTCTTTCAAGTACGCTTCAAAAAACAAAATTGACTTTTTAATAAGAATACACTACAAACGCTCACAGGTTTCACAAGCAATGACCACTCTTGTCTAACCTAGACACAACTTTTTAGGCTGAGGAGATGTAGAACAATAAGATTCAGGTTAGGTGTTAAGAGTTAAGTGCTAAGGTTAGGGTCATGCGACAGTCTGTCAGCATCAGTTACCCTTTCCTTCTCATGTTTACAAACTCATTAAAAGGAACAAGGAACAATTTAGCCTCAGTCCAACTTATCTCTGTCAACTGCCTGATGGTCACTTATCCCAGGGGTACAAAAGGGTGAACCTGAGCCCTGGTACAGCTTTACTTAGATATAACCCCTGCTTTAATTAAACAAGGCACATTTCAAGCTTTGCTGAGTTCTCATTTCACCAACAATAACAAAAAAGTAACAGTGGTTTATAGTTTTTGCACAGTGTACTGTAAGTACAAGTCAAAGACTAAGCTGCATGAAAGTACATTGATAAAATAAAAATTGCTTAAAAAAACATTACAATAGTGTCAGAATTGCACTGGGTCAAGGATGAAATGGCTAGAAGTGGAGGAGAAATACTGACATATAGTCACTCAATGCTGTGTGACAAGTTTAGACTTACTTTTCTTGGTAATATATCCAATAAAAAAAGTATGTTTATGGCCCCATGGCTCCATGGATCATTTATTTTTGGAAAGTTTTCTGTTTTTCTAGCAAAACAATGTTTTAATTTACACTTTGACAAAGTTTGAGGGAGCCTTTATTCAGTGTCCTGGAATATTAATGAATGACTGCATAGCCCTAAGCAAGATAAAACATGACCAAGAACCAGCCAGTGATCACCATTGTGTTGCATTACAGCTTTGACATTTTAACAATAACTCCTCCTGTATTGTGCTGTAAAAAGGTGGGCAGATAATGAAAGTGTTGACAGTTTAAAGGAAATTATTGGCGAACATGTAACAAATTTAGGCGTGTGAACAGATTTCTGCAGCAGTGTGTAAGACTAACACTTACTACTCCTTACAATAAAGTCAACTAAAGTCACAAACAAGTTACTTTTGGAAGTTGCATTTAAGATTTACTTGGTTCAAAAATGTTTTAAAGGAGCAATAACCAAACTGGTAAGATCTTAAGTGATAAGATTAGTAAGAGTCAAAGGAAGCTTAATGAAGAAAATAAGTTTAATATTAAAGCTACACGATACATTTCCTTTATAATCAAGCTGCTATAAGCAGGACCCCTATAGAAATCAACCTGCACATGATGGTGGATATCAGAGAGAGCAAGAGAGAGAGTTACTGTATAGAGATAACTGTATAGTTCCTTATAGCCTCAGAGTAGACATGTAACCATGACAACGATGGTTTCGTGCAAGTTGTGCAAAGCTAGACCCTCTGGTGAAAAATGTGAATGGATGTTTTTGTGAGTGTGTGTTATATGAAAAAAAGAGCATCTCTGATCTTCCAGACAAGAAGAAAAACATGCACATGCACTGTCTGCCATCCTCACGTCTCACCCGTATGGCTGTGTTATTGTCGTCAATAAGAGTGTCAGACACCTCCAAGTGACCCTCCTCCACCACCTTCTGTAGAACCATGCGGAAAGTGCCAATTAACCTGCATACAGAAAAAGTTCAGTCAGACAGTTGTGTCAAATAACGATCTAACACTTTGGTCTGACCCGATGTTCACTGAGCTTGTAAGGGTGGTGAGGCAGATACACTGCGACAGTTACAAAGAGCATGTGAAAAATATCAACACTGTTGTTATCACACACACACACACACGCACACAAATACATATGTGACTCATTACATTTTTACACTCGTTTATATATATATATATGTATGATGTACAGCTGAAATGAATATCATGAACTTTAAAGATAATAGAGAAGTCTTCACAAATGTTATAATTGTTTTTTATCATTGTTTTATCATTTCATTTTTTCATTTACTACTACTGCTATTAGCAGTCAGCCATGATCGTTAAGATTTTCTCTAATGCTCACTTAAGGCTGCACTCATTTGATCAAAAATACAGTAATATTGTGAAATATTATTCAATTTAAAGTAACTGTTTTCTATTTAAATCTATTTTAAAATCTCATTTATTTCTGTCATGGCAAAAGCCGAATTTTTAGCAGTCAGCATCATTTCCCAGACTTCAGAAATCATTATCATATGCTGATTTGCTGCTCAAAAAAATATGTCTCACTATATTCACATATGAAAATGGTTCTGCTGCTTAATAATCTTGTAAAAACCAACGTGATTTTTTAAGGATTATTGATGAACAGAGTAAAAAAAAAAAGTTAAAAAGAATTTGAAAGTATTTGAAACAAAAGTCTTTACTGTGATTTTATCTTGTCCTTGCTAAACAAAACTATCAATTTCTTTAAAAAATAAACTTTACTGATCCCAAACAGTTGTGTAATTCTGTGAGTGAAAGTGTCTGATAATAGTGTCCAGTTGCTCGTCTGATTTCAAAAAAACATTTTTTTATTAGACTACTGAAATGTCTGGACCTTTGTGGGTTTACATGATTTTTCAAAAGCATTATATATTTATTGTTTGTTAGTAAAAAAAAAAATGGAATGGAATTAAATGGAATTAAAGAAAATGAAGAATCTTGTATTGTGCAAATATAACATTATTAAAATACATTTTTAATAACTATTCTGCATATAAATATCTGAATACTGTCCCCTCTGGTAAACATTTAAACATTTCCTATCAAAAAGGGCAGTTAAATGTATTTATTACCAGCTGCAATCACTTCTAGGGACACAAACACATGCTTTTTATGTAACCACAATGCCTGTTTTGAAGTTAGAGGAATTCAGACTCACACATACACAAGAAGATCAACACACACATGGGAGATAGGAATGCATAGTTTTTCTGCTTGTTAACTCAACTCATATGAAAAGTGACAGGCAGTGAACAAAAGCAATCAGGAACTCTGGACAGACCATTAAAATGCCACATGTAGTTAGCTTACACACACTCTCTTGTCTATTACTGCATCACTGTCTAAGAGAGACAGGCAGGTCTATCCATGTAGTCAGTAAATTTGATGAGAAAACAGATCAAACCACTCAAACCGCTAATAGTTTTAGCACCTGCCTCTGAGCTACAGCTGTATTCGGATGTGAAATGACAAACTCAGTCAGCACCATTGTTCATCCGGGACTCGATACAGGAAAAAAAGACCATTGTGATTGATATGCGACCAGTTTAGTGGTGAAATGATGGCTTTGTCTATAAACTGCATGCATCCACGGGTGAATAATTCACTGATCCTGGATCAGGTTCTGGCTCTCAATCAACTTTTCTAAAGACCCCACATACATTATTGATCCTCTGAACAAACAACAGACAATTGACTTTCATCTGCTCCATAATTTACTGTGTCCTGCCTTGTCAAGTCCGTTCTCTTTTTTTTAGGAGAGGTCAGAACCAGAGAATTCACAGTTAATCCCATGTTGCTTTTCCATTTTTCTTATACACATGCATGCAAGTTGATTTCAGATGTCCTAAATGAAAATTGTAAGTATTTCTGACTTATTTATATTACTGATTTTGTGATTATATTTAATCCTTAAAAATGTACTGTTACTGTGAAGACTATAACCACCATATAAATTGAGAGGGACAATGAGCGTCTCTTCTGTTAAAATTGGGAGGAAATGGCAGGAGTTCTCATTTCGTTAGTGAGTAATATAATGAATGGCTGTGTTGGAATTCTGAGCTGGAATTTGCGGTTCCTCGGCACATTCTCTGCAGTTCTGCAGTTATCAGTGACAGATCCTGTTATAGAGCCGCACTGTACTCTCTGCCTTCTAGAGATATTACTAATTTAATGCATGAAATTGCACCCCAATTCCTGACATACATTCACCGACATAAAACGTTAATTCACACAGGCTTATTTCGAAACCAAACTAACCCACCAATACATTTTAAAACACAGTGACTAACATGTTTTTTGAAAGAAGTCTCTTATGATCACCAAGGCTGCATTACTTGATCAAAAATACAGTAAAAAAAAACAACATAATATTGTGAAATGTGATTACAGTTTAAAATAATTGTTTACAATTTTAATAATTTTTTTTACATTTACAAGTTTTTTACAAGAATTTTTTACAAGAAATTCTTTCAATTTTTACAAGAATTTTCAACAGCCATTGCTGCAGTCTTCAGTGTCACATCATGATCCTTCAGAAATTATTTTAATTTGCTGATTTGGTCCTCATGTATCACACCAGGCTGCACAAACATGATACTTTTTTTCAGGATTCTTTAAAAATAAAAAGTTCAAAAGAACAACATTTATTTTTAACATTATAAATGTCTTTATTGTCATGTTTGATCAGTTTAATATGTCCATGCTGAATAAAAGTATCCATTTCTTTTTTTTTCACTGATACCCAAACTATTTATTATCTATTTGATTTCTTCTCATATGGTCTTTATTTGCAGGATGCGATCCTATATGCTATATAGCAGCCATCTACAACGTCACCACCTGGTGGTCAGTTGGTCATGAAACAACAACAGCAATGTTGAATGAATTACCATTGATTCTCAATAACTGCCTGATCTTCCCATGGCTAGGAAATGTTCACCTCTAATGTACTGTTTAACCTTAATATCATATCAATAATATCTGTCATAAGGAAAATAGAGTTTCTGAGCTACAAATCAGTCTGCTGCGTGTACACAATGGTCTCACACCTGGTGTTTTGTCCCAATCTACTGAGTTCGCATAGATCACGATCAGGTCAGGTACGTAATGCATATGATGGATAGAAATTACATCTGTAAATAAACAAATGAGTGGTGCGGTTAACATATGTCACAGGGGCATATGAATTATTCAGCAGATCCTCTTCTTATACGTACATTGTGATCTATTCACAGGTGTCACCGTCAACTCTAAACAATGCCTATGATAACAAAACAAAGCGCTGACCATTGATTGTACTTAAATTAATTTTTTCTATTTAATTAGATTTTTCTAATAGTGCTCACGGCAGCTGCTTATTTACTAATTCATGTTGATGTAGCCAGACCAAGATAACCATATACACTCGCACACACACACCAACACTGACGTCCGCATCACGAGAAGTGTCACACTTTCAGGCCACAGAATTTACACGTCATTCAGTGGAAAACAGCAAGTAAAGATTGTCAGCCTATTCAACACATCTGGAGGAATACAGTGCAGGTATATAGAAAACACCACAGCACTCCTTCAGAGTAGTGAGAGAAAAGCTTCACAGAGTGAATACTGACAGGTACATGAACAGGAAATAAACTGCTCCGCATCCAATCAACATTGTTAGGCAAACCTCTATTCTGTGGCTGCTCTCTCATTCGAGTGGAAATTAGAATGGCAGTAATTAATTAATGTAAATAACTATCAAACTACTAAAGGATAGATAGATTTTTTAATCTTTTCTATCTTTTTTACAACATTTTAAAATACCTAAAAGGCTCAAATAATCTACACTGCTACTGGACTATGGTCAATACAACATATTATGAAAACCAGTTTCACAAAAAAAAAGTACGAGTTATGAGGTCCTGTATGGTCCGATGGAAATAACAAAGAACTATTGTTATACAAACAAGCCTTAGTTTGTCTAAGAGAACATTTAATGCTTTGTTGATAGAGTTTGTTTGGAGACCATAGGTTGAAGCCATAGATGTTAATTAAATGTCAATAAATACTATGCAATCAGAAGCAAGTACTATATATTAATAGGCTGCTATCTTTTTGTCCTGATCAGAAGTCACACACACAGCAAATGTTTTGAATTATCATACCTGTTAGTAAAGACTTTGCTGTAATTAAACACTTGGATCTCCAGCATCTCGTCCCCATCCACTTGACTCCCAATTGGCCATCGGAACGCCTGGAAAACAAAGCCAAAAATCAATATGTTCAATCTGATTTTAACAGAACTGATCATTTGTAGACATGCATTTCCATATTTACAGTAATATCCACAATATTGTTGTCCATAACCAAAACAGCTCTAGTACAACACTGCACCATTAGATTGTCCCATCAGCACAGATAAAGGTAGGCGAAAGTTATCGATAATGTTGTGCTTGGTGATCTATACGGAAGCCCATTTATGCTTCAGAATAAAACAGTAAAAATATCATTATGAGATGAAGTTTAAATTACACATAGTCACATTGTGAGATATAAAAGTTGCAATTACAAAAAAAAAAAGTCACATATGGAACCGAATTAGAAACAGATTTGGTAATTTGCACATCCTTAAAGCAGTCCTTTACTATTACTAAATGTGCCCATTTTGTCTAAAGATAGAAGATAGACACTAGTCTCAATCTAAATACACTAAGGTCAGCCCATTTACTTGCCATTAACATGACAAACTTTACCAGGGATTTCAGTGTGAATAATCAACACATTCTTATCCTTTGGCATCATATAGGTGACGCCATATGACATTTTGTTGAAATAATACGCACATGATGGCACCCTTTAGCGTCAATATAACTCGCACTCCCTTTTAAACGAATTGTTGCAAACTTGCAATCTATGACACTGCAGGAGTCTTTTCTGGTGCTAGGGCTCTAAACCAAGGGATGATGCATTAGCTTGCTCATGATCCCAGAACATGGACTCCCATCTGGTACACTGATCTATACAGACAAACGGGCTACCCTGAGGGCTGCTGAGGCGTTCTGTTTCACTGCGATTATGGAGAACAGCGGTTCTCCACTGCAAGGCTGTGAGACCATAGTGTTTCTTGCCAAATCAATCAGTGCAGAGCTTAGACTGGCTTGGATGCACTGGCTAGGGGAATGAGATTTGTTGATGCGTGATTAAAAAGTCACAGAGGCCACGTGCAGGTAAATAAGGCTGTCACTTCTGCTTAATCCTGTTTGGAACACATAGTTTGGTTATTTACAGGACGATGGCCACATTTAACAAACAAATTAAGTCTTGAAAAATTCATGTGGTAACAACATGTCTACAGGACTGAACGCATAGTAATTTACTGTTATTACAATCACATTAGAGATTCGTTTCTGTTCTCCAAATGGTTCTGTTCTTCTTCACTCCATCACACATTTTGAGACAAGTAATTGCAGAAGCAATTATGAACTACAAATAAAGTCAGTATGTGAGACTAAATAAATGTGTTTTAGTCTGAATTAGGTAAGATGTGTACTTCCATTTCAGTTTCACCAATCCTAAGAAAAGAGTTGAGGTGAAAACAAAGATGATAGGAAACGAAATATAAATAATAAGGCCACTAAATTCATCAGTATGCTGAAATAATTAGTTGAACCAGGGCAGATTGAGGAATAATTATTTTCAAAGTTGAACTCCTGCCAGCTCATTGTGGATGAAATTGCACTATGTTTTCATTTAATCTCAAAAATATCCTATAAAAAGAATAGTTTTTTAAAGTTTTGCATATAAACAAACAGAAAATATATTTTAAAAAAGGAAATTGAGCTTGTCAGGGTGCTACGTAAATGAGGCTTACACAAGGAAATAACGTATTTAAGAATCTAGTGAAACCTAATGGGATAAAAGATGTTGAGCTTGGTTGTTGAGGATGGGATGCTGTTATTAACCACACACACACACACACACAAAAGCAAACTTCTGTCAACAGGACACCTACGGTCTTATATTCCAAACACATTAGGAACATTTGTCTATTTGAATGTTATGGGTTCTCATCACAGTATGAGAAGTTAATGCGATGAGAGACATGATCCTCACTAGACAGGGAGTGATACTTACCAGATGCTTGTACAGAACTACATATTAACATTTTATAATACAGAAGGGGAAAAAACTGGAACACGGGAGGGTCTCAAAAAGAGTCATATAGCCTATTGAAAGTCGTTGAACACAAAAGGCTGAAAAGAGGGTCTATGTGAGATTTACTAGATGTCTCAAACAACCTCTATTCACACTCGAGCAGTTGCACAAACCACAGCACAGGTCTATATGCTAAACCTACAGAGAGGAGCCGCCACTGATGGAGTATACTGCAAGAATTGTGCGCTTTGCTTGCCTTCACGGACTGAGCCAAATACACAGGGTAAAGTCCAGTCAAGCGGAGTGAGGATTTTCCCCTCAAATCCCTGAGCTCCAGTGCAGAATCTATATTCACTCCCACGGATGGTGCAAAATATGAGTACGAATAAACAAGAGGAGATGGAGCTGGTCCTTAGAGAGACAGAATTAACTGGCAGTGAGTGCTTATTTTAAACTCACTCGTCTCTACAATCCCTTGTGTACATTAACCTTTAGTACGTTTATTAGAAAGCTTGAGGTGAGAGGCAGCTCGGAGAGTATATGGGGAAGAATAAGGAACATGAAGAGTAGAGATAGGAATCATCTCTTTAACATCCTTATTCTCCCTGTTGATAAATGAACAAACACACAAACACAGAGCTATTGGAAGTCAGTCAGATGTAAACAACCTATAATTAAGTTATAAACTTCCACAAATCTCAACCATTATCACGCAAACATAACATTGAGGATCTATAATAACCTTTTGTGAGATGTTTAAAATGGTCTGATGGGGTGTTATTGTTAATTATAAATGAACAGAAATGCATTTTAGGTCAGTTATCGCCTTTATTTATTGCTGATGTTATCTTTATCAAATCTCATCTTTATACTGTATGTTGTGATGCCTAAATTCACTTGTTTTTAGTTTTTAGAGTTTTGTTTTCATTTCCTCAGACAAAATAGTATAGAATTTTAACATTACAATAATAATTATACCAGTTATAGATGGCCATAACATGAAAATATTGTCTCCTTGAAGGCCAGATTCTTAATATATTGAGCATCCCTATAAATGAAAAAACAGAATATTGTATGAAAATGTGCATAATTCTGTTTGCCGCAAATAATTATGGATAATATTATTACAAGAACCTGTGACAAGTTGCAACATACCCTTTACAATAATTATTAATACTCTTACAAAATGCTGCTGGCTATCTAGAGAACAGATTAGAAGGAATTACAGTGACTGTGCCCATATGCAGATCAGATGAAGATCAAATTATCTTTGCAGATGATACGGCTGCTGATTATAAACTTTGAAAAAATTCTATGCAGCTTAGAGTTATTCTTGTAATAGCATTTGTAAGAAGGCTGGATTCATCAACCCTAAGACGTAGCGCTAGTTCACAGTTGCTCACCATGACTAATTAACCATGGAAATAAAAATTAATTGGACAGAAATAGCATGGCTCGTGCACTCATTTTCAAAGCATAAGCTTCAACGCATTTTGTTAGATGCATGGTTAAAATGGGATTTTTTTTTTTAAATAAAAACTTTTAACAAAAAGTCTAATAATAACTTATAATGGGTAATTTCATGTTTTATGATACCAAAAAAAAGACGATCACACAAAGTGTATATCTGAAAGAAATGCTGGAAATACAGGAGTCTGCCCATGAAAAAAAGCTTATCTCCTCCTGGTGTCATGAGGTTTGATCTCAGAGAGCTGTGACATTACGGATTCACTCAGTGTCTTGTTGACTGGACTCTATTTCACTGCAGATAACTCTGAGAAATAGAGCCTATTCTCAATTTATTATTTTCTTTTACTTGGTTTTTCTCTTTTTTACAGGTTTTGAAACCCAATATTTTTATAATATTAATGTTTATATTGTGAATAGAATCCCAATCAAATATAATATATGCTTAAAGGACAATGTACAGTTAGCTCCACAACGAATCTTAAAGCTCCTACTAAGAAAAATTACATTACATTGATTTTACCATGTGCCAATTACAAGTACCATTACAATGTACAAAACAATCAGAATAGCGACAAGACAAACACTGAAACATTATTAAAGTTTTAAAGAATTTTCACTATGATCAAGTTCTGTTTGTCTGAATCAAGAGTGGGTCTGGGTTTCCCCCTCTAACAAATGATGTGAATAGATGAGCTCTCTGCTTCAGTGATGGTGAAGACCTGAGGTGATGAGTTTGTAATTCAGCTCTAAGAAACTAAGCGCCTCTTCACGATTTAAATGCACGGAGAGTGAATTATTCAATGACAAAGGATCACAAGTTTTGACATGCCACATCTCCCTCCCCCCCTCTTGTCTGTGATTCAGCTAATGGAAAGCTGCATGAACACTCAACTTTTTCATTGAAATCAATCCCTCTCTATTAGGTAAAAAATGTGCACTGGTCCTGACATCAAACCGCATCTCTAATCAGCCTCCTCAGTCAAGCCCTAGTGATTTTCTTTCTCACACTCGCTTGCCCTTCCATTTTTTTCCTTCTCCTCCTCTCCTACATTTTTATCAGTCTCTTTCTCATATCTTGTATGCTTTGGTCTCGTCTTCTCCTTTTTTGTTTCTTGTAATTTAAGCTTTTTGATCTCAATTTCTCAGCTCTCATCTTCATATCTATCTATCTTCCAACCTCTGCAATGTTTCATGCTGTCAAATCCTAAAGTCACTTCCTGACATTAATACAACAAGTTAAAGCACTTCTTATTTCAGATTCCCAGTGTGCGGCCAACTCGCGGGAACATTTCAGCTAATTAAGCTCATTAAAACAGATTGTTTTGATTTACTGCAGTAATCGGGAATGATTTAATGTGGCTATTACTTCTTCACTCTTCCCTCTACACCATATGGCCTCACAGTGTGTGATTTCTCCTGCAGCACCTCAAACATCTCACCCTCTGCAGATTCCACTAGGTGACCTTATTCGATTCTGAGTCACAACAAGCTCATATCTTCCCCTTTCCTTTTCCATTAAATCTAAAGCATCAAAAGACATGGTGACATGGTTTTAAATGCATGTATTTTGTTTAACAATTGATAAAGACAGGGGGCAGTAATGTTAGACTTTAAGTGGCACAGTATGCA